CATCAAGTGCCCACATTTCTTAGTAAGCATCCTAATTGCATGAGCCGCCCCATTTCTAGTTGGTGAACTCTGTGTTGCTGTAGGAAACATGACTCTGTGTCTCTCTGCTCTGAATTCCAGAGCTTGGTTTGCACAACGTGTTTCCCTGTTGCTTTGGGGGATGTTTTGCTCTCTCTCTCTGGACGGGTGCCTCAGAGCTGCTGTGGGTCAAGCAGTGATCCCAAAGCACAAACAGAAAGCAGTTCTCATTTTCCTGCTCAGCTGATGTCCCTATTGGATCCAGTGGAGGGGACAGGAAGGCTCAGTGAGGAGCTGCTGTGTATGTTGGTGCAAACGGGGCGCAGTTGGCACTGCGCATCTCTGTGACTCCGTGTGTCTGTGTGCTCTGTGCAGGGGTTTTGCGTCAAACATCTGAGCTGGAGCGCGTTCCCACGCTGGGTTTGTTTTTCTCCTTGTGCTGTTTCTGAAGTTGCAGAAGTGCTGAGTTGCAGGAGCCCAAAAACCACTTCCCTTCCCCACTGCCTGCAGCGTCGTCACCACTGCTGACAGCACCGCAGGGCCCCTGTTGGTGAGCAGCCCTGTTCCACTGTGCCTTGTGCTCAGCTATTTTGGCTGTCAGAGGGGCCTGGACTTGTCAGGGAGTGCTGCCAGCTGACCCTGTTACACAGGTGTCAGTGCAGGGCATGCTGAGGTTTCTCTCGTCGTTCCCATTTCCCGGTTGTCGTGGGGTTTGTTTTGTTTTTCTTAGTGCCTGGTACTGCTTTGCTGTACACAGCCCTGAGAGTTGGCCTGTGTGTAAGGAGACCTGGGTGCCTGCATCCTTCCCTCGGAAGCACTGCTTTGGTACCAGCACTTCCATCTGGGGATGTCCCCGATGGTGCAGGCACAGGGTGAAGGATTGCTACTGCAACCTGTAGGCTTTGCTAATGAAATGAACTTGGTGCAAACCACTGTGATTGCCAGGGTGTTGGGATGTGCCACGGCCCTGTGGAAGACCTTTGTGCCCATGTGCCTTGATGGAGCTCGGAACCTCATTGTTTGATATCCCTAGCAGGAGAATGGAGAGATGCCCAGGCACGTGCTTGAGGTTACGCGGAAATCCAGCTGGAACTGAAGCTTTTAGCACTCTTGCAGATAGAGCAACAGAATAGGCAAAGCTGTTGTTAGAGTGGTCAGCCTTGGTTTGAGAAGTGGGACAGGCTGTGCCATGCTGGCCCTGAGATCTTGGCCTGTTTGATTCCTGCACGCTGCTGTCTCTGCTCACACTGAGCTCTGGACACACATGCTGGTGCTGCCCTGGTGCACCAGTGCTGCCCGTTCTGGGTTCTGCTGCTGCATGGCTGTTATTTCCCAGCCCTTGGTCTTAAGGGAAGGGAACAAGTAATCATTTTTGTATCTGTTTAAGCAGAGAAAGGAGCTTGGAAGTTCCCAGTCTCTTCTTGGGTTGAAGAGAACAAACCCAGCTCCTTCCTCAAGGCACAGCACTGCCGGGTGCGCGCTGCCAGGGACGCTCCCATCCTGTCTTATCATACTCATCAACCATCCTGTTGATTGTGGGATTGTTCCTGGCTTTCTTCAAAGCACGTATGACGATCTCATCAGTTCTGAGAAGGGCAGGAACCCTTCACTGTGCAACAGGATGGGTTAATTGCAACATCTGCAGAGAGCCCTGCTTTTTCTGTGTGCCGCAGCATCTCCCTGAGAGCTGCTGGAAAATGTGCTCAAAATACTGACTGCTGGCGGAACTTGAGGGCTCTTGATATTGCCACTTCCCTCTGTCCTCATGTGACCTCATGGAGGGCAAAATCAGGGCAGCAAGTGATGCCTGAGTTTAACCACACTATGGTCTTGCTTTTAATTTATCAGTCTTTGAGTTAAATACCACACAATTTGTAAATAGTACTGCTGAATCCGTTCCACGTGTTCATTTTCTTCAGGCTAACTGCTGCAGGGAGATGTTTGTTCCCAGGGGGCATCAGCTGCGTCCCAACCACAAAGCTTGGGCTTAACAGAGTTGTAATCAGAGCAGTGCGTGGGCTTGTCCTATTCATCACCATTTAGAAATGTGCATCTTGACTTTCAAACTGAAAATGTAGCCGTAGTTAATCCCCTCCTCCTGCTCAGGTTCCCCCTCTGCGGGCAGAACAGCACCGTGGGTTGAACCTCTCCATTGCTTTTCTCCTTTTAAAATCAAGGCAGCGTTTCTCTCCCTCACCTCTTGTTTCTTCCCTTGCAGCATCAGCGAGAGCTTCCTCACTGTGAAAGGAGCAGCACTCTTCCTGCCACGAGGGAATGGCTCATCCACCCCCAGGGTCAGCCACCGGCGCAACAAGCACGCAGGTAACTGCTGCTGCCATGCTCTGCCCCAGCTCACCTCTCTGCTGTGTGTTCTTGCTGGAGGACACATGCTTTGTTTTACACCAGGTGTGAATTAAAGGCAGAGCTTCGAGCCTCAAGGCTCTTAGAGAAAAGGTTTTGGTACTCTCTTGTTAATCCAACAAATGAATGACTCTGGGGCATCGTGGAGAACTAAGAACAAACCTGCCCTCACAACCCAAAACTGTCATGCTGTAGCTTTGATATGAGGGAGGGGCTGCAGGATTGCACTGGGAAACTTGAGGTTATGATATGAGGTGAGTAATTGCCTGTCCCAATCTGAAACCAGCTATGCTGATGGAAGAAAAGGGGCACACTCACCTCTGTGAGGTGATGAGGAAACCTCTGAGCAACATCAGTGTGACTTCTCAGACGTGAGAGCAGGGTGAGCAATGCAGAGGCAGGCACGGTTCCACCCCGCCTTATCACCTGCAGGTTTGATTTGTTGTGTTTTTACTTTTGCTTTGGCTCTGTTTGAAAAGTCACTCTGAATAACGAAACTCAAACATGTGGAGGTAGGCTGCTTTTCCTGCTGCGTATGGTGCTTATTCACTGGTAGTGTTTAGCCATCAGATAGTATGGGGTTTTTCCCTGCTATTAAACACTCAGCAAGGAAAAACATAATCTGTGTTGAGATCTTTGGGCTTTTGTGCATGGGGCAGAGCCAGGAGGCTGAAGGCTTTCTGTGCCTAGAAGTGACCACCAAATAGCAGTGTGGTTTATTCCTGGTGCTGCCTCAGGTCTTTGTGGTGCTGCTGGCTTGCACAGCAGCTGCAGAGCTCGGTGGAAAATAGTGCTGCTTGCCTGATCAGCACAGAGCTTTCAGGAGCAGGGCTGCCAAGAAAGCAAATCCAGTGTGTTGTAATTGCTTTCAGCAAGGTGTTTTGTGTTTAGGAGGCTGGCTTGCCTGAGGGGTGGGATTTTTCTTCTTAGTCTCTTTACCCATTTGCAGGGTGAGGTGTAAGGAGGTACCAGTGCTTGTCCTTTCCTTGGCCTCCTGCTCAAGTGGTGTTCGTGGCATGGTGTTTTGTGGCACTTGGAGATCTCGTGAGGAAGTGTCTTTCAAATGAGCGTGTGCCATGTTTCTTTGTGTGCTTTTCCAACTTGCAGTGAATACCAGCAGACCAAGACACCTAGGGATCAACATGTCACATCTGTGCCACCAAAATTAAAGCAGTGATGTAGAGAAAGCAGCCCCAAGGAGTGAGGTGGCTGTTGGCAGTGAGCTCAGTGCATGGCGAAGGAAAGCATCTCCTTTCTTGGCCTCCAGCAGGCCGTGCTCAGCTTTCATTCCTGTGTGTGTGTTGGGACTTATCTCTGGCATTTGGAATCAGAAGGGAACCAGGGAGCAGCCATAACATGTCAGCACAAAGCTGCAGCCCATGCATGCAGTGGTGTTTCAAGTGGCCACAAGAGCATTTCCTAGGAAGGCTGGGGGACCTCGTGGAGCTGCCTCCCTAACTCAGTGCTGGAATCCAGCATGAGGAGCAGCTGCCTAGCAGGAAATAATTAATGCTCACACCTATTTCTTTAATTGTATCACCTTCAGAAATGAAAATCACTGGTTGCTCTGGCTGCTCCCTCCCCTCCCCCAGTTCCCTGGTGGTCCCTCACTGTGCCATTGGCACACTGGCCACGTGCTGGGGGCTGGCTGCTGCACTCCACCAGACTAGAGAAAGCCTGGAAAGGATGCAGGTTCCCTGCAGCTCTTGCCATCTCTGGGATATTGTAAATCAGTTTTAAGATCCCATCCAAGCTGATGCTTTGCACCTAGCTTGCCAGCTTGGGGGACTCAAAGGCAGCTGCTCACTGCTGCACAATGTGATAGGAAGCAGCAGTCGTGCCATGAATGCCAGCAGAGCTGACAGCTCTTCACAGGACAGGATGTGATATCTTTGTGCTGATTCTGGCATGCTAAAACCTTTCCTTTGCTTTTTCTTCATCCAGCAAGCTTACACTGTGTGTTTGGGGCTGAAAATGCTGCAAGCTGAGCAAAGTGGGCCAGAGAGGCAATGCTTTATTTCCAGCTTTGAAGCTTCCAAAGCTTTGAGACAATCCAGTAGTCCTGGTGTTTTTTTCTGTCTCTGGGAACATCAGCTCTTAAACTGTTTCCTACAGTTGAATTAGTGGGAGCAGTAGGTGGAAATGGTGATGTTTTGGGGAGGGGAAAGCTGAGCTGAAGCAGCTTTGGTGTCATGCTGCTCAGTCCCTGTGAGCTCAGTGCTCCTGGGTTTGCAGGCACCTGAAATGGGGGATCACTGCCCCCAGCCCTGCTGCACTGCTGCTGAGACCTGCTGAAGCTCTGTGCCTCTGCCAGGGGTTGTAGCAGTGCTGACATGGGGAAATCCTGTGTCTCACTGCTCCCCTCAAGGCCACGCATCCTATAGATGAGCTGGCCCTTCCTGTGCTGTGTCCCTGAAGGAGCCCCGTGCAGTGCTGAGAACAATGTCCTTGGGCAGGATGTGCCTTTGGGTGCCTGTCACCTCTGTGTGTCAATCCTGCAGTCCCACCCCCTGTTTATAAATGCTCTTACAGGGCACTGACTCATTCTCCCTATACTGAAACGTGTTTAAAGGAGGAAGGAAGAAGAGAGCAGTGACTGCTGTGTGCTGTGCAGCCTGCTCACAGAAGCATTGTCATCCCCCCATAGTGGGCACTGCTTCAGCCCTGCTCTTCCATTGGCTGTAAAAGTCACCACGATGCTCCCATGGGTGCCCCTCTTGGCTGTCAGATACCTGCTTTAGGGTCCTGTGCCACCCGGGTCCTTTTAAGAAGACTTTGTAGACCGATGCAGGAACTGATTTATTTTTCTTCTGCTTTTCTTGGCTTCACCAGTAGAAGAACAATGGGCATTTTCTAGGAACAATTATGGTTGCTTGGTGTTTGGGTGGTAGCTGTTGGGTACTTTGATGGAGTTGGTGCATGAGTGTAAGGCAACACCTTGTGCTCTAAGGTTGGACCAAATCTCACTGCAAAGAGGACTCCTTTGTCCAGGTGAGAGTTTTCTTCAAAGTAATTAGCATTGTAAAGGAAGTGGCAGATTCCTGCTTTGAGCCAGGTAGTGAAAGAGATGTTGACCCATGTACCAGTCTTGTAAAGGAACAGAGACTACTGGAGTGCTTTTTACCTCTGTTAGAAAGAAAACAAGATTTAGCAGCAGGGAGCCTGGTGAGACAGGAACAGGTGAGCACAGAGCAAGGAGCAGCTGGCTGGTGGATGGAGGTTTGTCATCCCGGGTGGGTGGAAGCAGCAGTGCTGTCTGTGCTGTGTCAGGTTTCTCAGTGGCCGTTTGCTCTGGCTGGTCAGCCAGGAGCCTGCATGTGATTTGGAGCTATTTTTGTGCATTCACTTTACCCTTTTTCCTGCAGGGGATCTCCAGCAACACCTGCAGGCCATGTTCATACTGCTCCGCCCAGAAGACAACATCAGACTGGTAGGCTGGCTTTTTGCTTATCTGTTCTCCTGAATATAAAGGTTAAGTTTCACTGGACAAATACACCTGTGTAACTCATGGAGCAGCTGTGTGTGTGTGTGTGTGTTCCAGTGGTTTCATCGTCAGATCCTGGGAGTCTTCTCTGCAACCACAAGGAGAAAAAAGCAGCTTGTTATAAAAGACCCACCTAATTGATTGTGCAGTGAGATAAACTGTATGCATAGCAGGCTGCCTTTGTCTGAGCCAAGTGCTGAGTAGTTTTATGCTCAGAAAGTTCTGTAGCAATTGTCAGAGAAGCTGGGTGAATTAACATGGTGTCCTGTTTAGTGTCAGCAGGTGTCTCTGACCAGCATGAACTCCTGTCCTTCCATGGCAGTTCAGTTGGATTCCTCGTTATGCTCTATAACTGCTTGCATCTGAAAAGGCTGTGGCTTATCAGGAAGGAGCATGCAGGATCCCCATGTAGCTATGTACCCATGCTGATCCCTATTGTTCTGTTTTTTCGGGGAGCTGTTGAAAATGCATTGTTACTGTTTGTAACACTGATGTGCATTAGAGACCACCAGCAGCTGGAGAAGAGCGGCGAGGAATCCTTCTGGGATGTGTTGAAGTGCTCTGCAAGGTCAGGCGCAGTGGCAGTGTCCCTGCATCACTCATCACTTAGTAGCCTGAAGTGCCTTGTCCTGTGTTGCATTGATGCATCTTAGCAACGTGTGCCCAAAGCAGTGTTGCCATCCTCAGAAGTGTTATTCCAGCACCTCTGGTTTGTGGAATCCTCCTGAGCTGGGAGCTGGGCTGATCCTTTGAGGATGGCTAGAAAATAGCCAAGATTCCTACAGAATGCATCAACTATTAAGAACAACTGTGGAAAATAATGTGCTGTAAGCAGACTGAGGGACCTGCTCCCCAAATCTGTCAAGCACACCTTGCTGTCATGAAAATGTTGGTGAAAGTGATGGGAATGGATGGGGGGTTCTCAGAGCCTTTCAAAATCCCAGCCAGGGTTAGAACCTTGGAAGCCATTGAACAAGTCATTGTTCAGCAATATCAGTGGCTACATTGTGTGATTTGGGACAAATTAGCCTTAACAGCTGAATAAGGACTTTGTGGGCTGAGACATAAACCCTTTTGTTCACAGCTACATTTGGAATGCTGAAATCTTGCATGAGGTTAAGTTCGATAGTCTACTTGAATTTAATTGATTCTTGACGAACGAAGGGTGTGCAGAGCTGCTATAGACTCTCTCATAAAATAGTAGATACAAATGAGATTTGAAATATAAACAGTACTGAGAGAAATGCATTCTCTTCTTGTGTTGGCTGCTGTCACTCCGAGGGCAGACTTCACAGCTCAGAGGGCAGCAGAGAAATCTAATCCTCTAAAAACCTACACTTATATTTTGGAACAACTCTTGTTTCTGTTGGAGCTGTTGGCAGAGCTTTGTAGCTTTCAGTGAGCAGAATCAGAGGAATGGTATGAGTGTAAATGCAGTGGGAAGGAGGAAAATGAGTTGGAAGTGTACAGACTGATTTGAAGACTTCCTGGAGAGCAGCAGAGTGGGGAGTTGTGCACTTCTGTGTGTTTAATAATAAAAGAAGACTTCAGAAGACTTGAGCACTTTTTTTTGGTTTTCAAATCAAATATTCCAGTGAGAAATGCATTCCTGTATGAAACACCTGTTATCCTGTAGCATAAAAAAGAGGAAAGGTCAGTGTAAGCTTACATCTTGGAAGGTACAGTTCATAAGGGCTGATAAAACACCACGTTGTAGCTCTGATGAAACAAGAATGTGGCAGAAGATAAGGTTGGCTTGTGGGTAGGTGAGCCTAAAGCTAAGAGAAAAATTGCTGGTCCTGGAAGGGCTACAGAGGACTTCTTGTTCAAGAAAACAAAATTGAGGAGAAAGGACCTTTTCATCTCATTTCAGCCCCTGGAGCTAGCTGTCCTCCAGAGATTGATTGGGATTTCAGCATCTTCATTTAAAAGGTATCAGACCACTTAGTTGCTTGGTGCACACCTACTGTTGGGTGAGAGTAAGAGCCAGTGCTTAATGAAAAGGCTGCTCACCAATCTGTCATCTGCTGGGCGTTTGAACCTTTATTGTAACTTTGGAGCTCGACTGTTTTATTATTCCAGGAAATTTAGCAGAAAGGATTATCTGCTCTGTTAATGGTTCTTCTCTTTGTGGGGAGGGTGTGAACTGGATGCAGAGAGCCACAACAAGCCATGCCCAGCTCCTCTTAATTGGCCTCTGAAAATCCCACCCCAGGGCTGGGAGCTGTGTGACCTTTGGCTGATGTTTGTCTTGCCCTGTTCTAAAGGGTCTTGCATTGAAACCACATTTCTAATTACTGCTAGCCAAATTGGTTTAGCACAGTGAGTTGGCTTATGTTAATCCTCCGGCTGCTGGACTGTCCTTGAGCAGCAGGACAGAGCTCGTTGGGGCACAGGGCAGTGTTGGCTGCCTGCTCCTGTTTTGGGCAAGTCTTGGTTTGGATCTTCGTATATATGATGACTCTGAGCACCAGCACCTCGGCGACTGCTTGCTGCTCCAGGTGGAAGAGCACCTTTGTGATACTGTGTTGGTTAGTTGTACAGACAGCAGAACTCGCACCTTGAAGGCCTGACCTCTTTGACTCTCCGTGTGACTCAAGTGTCCAAGTGACTCAAGACACAAGAAGGACAACAAGGCTGGTTTTAGCATGTCTTATCCTTAAGAGATGGAGTGGAGCACAGTCCCACTGTACACAGCACATCTGTCCACTGGTGTTGGCGTTTGGGGAGTTTGTTAGCTTTTGGTCTAAGAGAACAAGCCTAGAAAGTGCAGCTAGCACTGCCTCCTGCCTGCACTTGCTGCTGCACCTGGCACTGGGGCTGCTGCCACACGCTGTCATAAACCTTGTGATGGGTTCTGCTGCGTCCCCTGCCTGAGATGTGGTGCAGGGCGAGATGTGAGGGAGCTGGGAGGTGCTTCCTCTGAGCCGTGCTGGCCTCAGAACTGCAGGGTGTGCTGGGGAAAACAGCACACTGCTGGGAGATCCCACGGGGTAGTGATTTTGGGAGCTTTTATTTGAAGGCTAAAATGACTGCAGAGAGAAAGCTCTGTGAGCATGAGCTGTCATGGGTGGCCAAGAATGCTGACGTGAGATTTGGGACGGTGGCAGTGGGGTCTTGGGGAGTTCAGGCTCTATTTGCAGAGGATGTAGAACACAGCTTCGAGCTGCACTGTTCCAACGAGAGGAATTCAGCAGTGGGTCCCTGGCAGCAGGCAGGTGCCAGCCCACAGCTTGGGGCATAGCTGGGGCACACCATGTCTGCTCAGCCATGTCTGCTCTCCACAGACCCCGCTCAAAGTTCAAGAAGCAGCTTAGCAAAAAGATAAACACTGACAACACAGTGTCTTGAGGTTGGGTTAGGCTGTCCAAAGTTAAGATGCATAATTAAGACGTTTCCTTTCTAGAGATGTCGTAGTTTCTCTCATAGTTGGGACCCTATGACTAAAATAATTGCAGACAGCTTGGAATAGAGTCCAAGAAGTACTGCAAGTGAGCGCTGCATACTGTGAGTGTGGATAGCAAAGCTGAGCTCTGAGCCCAGCTTTCCTGGGCTCCTCAGCAGTGTGTCTGCAGGGAGATGTGCTCAGCCCACAGCTCACTGCCTTTTGGCTTCTGGAGGAGATCCAATCATGGGTACAGCCCCATAACTCAAATCTTTTCCTGCCAGGTGTGCAGTGGTGAGGTCTCTTCTATACTGAGGGAACTGCTAGAAAAGCTCAGAGGGCCAGCAGGAAGCCATGCACCAGTCAGTCTAGCTGTCTGCCTGGGAAGCTGAGAGCACATGATACAGACAAGCTCTGGTTCACCAAATGTGCACGAGGGTCCCCAGGTTGGGGCTGCTTCTTGCTCACAGCCTTGGTGGGGCACAGCAGGCTAATGGCCAGGTGTGCTGAAAGCACAGGAACATCCCACTTATTCAGGAGAGCACTGTGAGAAGGGGAATAAGTTGCTTCTCCCTCTTCTGCTGACCACCCCGTTGAGAATCAGGCTGGCTGGCCTCGTGCATCACATCACTGCTTCTGTGGCTCTCGCTCAGTTTGGCAGGGTGGCTTGTGAAGGTAACAGTGTGCATCTTGCTGGCTCTGCTGCTGATGTTTCTCCTTCATTTTCCCAGGCTGTAAGACTGGAAAGCACATACCAGAACCGCACGAGATACATGGTGGTCGTATCCACCAATGGCAGACAGGACACGGAGGAGAGCATCGTCCTGGGAATGGATTTCTCTTCCAATGACAGGTACTCACGCTGTCAGGGTGGGGAAGTCCTTGTGTTCACCCATGTGTTGAGTAAAGTTCAGCAATCGCTGTCTGGTGTCTGCGCGTTCTGGGGACTGTTTCAGATTTTCCAGCCTGGTGTCTTTCTCCAGAACTAGAGTTCCTCTTTTGCTTTTCCTAAAGAGGTAGCAAATAGGAGCAAAAGAGCTCAGGTCAGCATTTCCTCCATGCCTCAGGCTTGTGTGAGTACATGAAGTGCCCTAAGCGGGCTTTGAAAAGCAAGATCCCAAAGCTCTGCACACCAGGCACAGGGAGGACTTGCAGCAAACCAAAAAGCTGCAGTTTGGGCATTAGGGTTCAGGAGAGCAGCAGTGACTATCAGACAGCACTGTGCCAGGGTCATGGGAGCCTGGACCTGATGGGAATGCCAGGGTTGCTGATGGCACAACATGTCTTCTCCCCAAGCATTAGTGTGTTGTCAGGGTTTAGTGCTTTTGCTTCCTTCATTTTAATTGCTACTGACCTCTCCAAGGGTTGGGGAATGTAAGTGGGAAGCAGCAGCTTCAGGCGTAGAAGGGGGCACTGCTCTCTTTGAAGAGAGCACGGGGGGCACGGAGCTCTCTAAAAAAAAGTTAGAATAAATGATGGTCTACGTGAGGAATCTTTAAATTTAAGAAGAAAAAAGATATTCAAAGCATTCTGGAAGCTTAAGTACAGATGCTTTTTTTTCTAGCTCAGACTTTAAGCACAGAAATGAATCTCACTGCTGACCCTAGCTGCTAGAAATTATTTTCGGGTGGTTAGCAGGGTCACTGGAAAACTTTTTAGAACAGTTTGGCTAAAAGGAGATTTTTGAAAGCAGCTTGCTGATGGTGACAACCATGCTTAATTTCAAGTGATTGGATTTGGATGCTTTGCTCAAGTGATGCCTACTGAAGAGAGAGAGCAGTCCCAGCCCGTGCGTGCACGTACAGCTATGGCTCAGGGATGCTCTTATGGCAGTGCAAGAATAACTTGTCCTTGCACAGGTTGCTGTGAGCGTGGAGCCCGCTATTGGCTGGGATGTACCAGCACTGCCACCTTTGATAACTGAGAGCTCACTGGCATTCAGTCTTTAATAACATAGAGAGGTGGTTTTAGCTGTCTCCTAGAGTTACTCAGGTTCTGGATGGTCACTCTGATACACCCTCCCCTAGCCCACTTGCTATTTATAATTCCATATAGACTTGTTGCTATGGGCTCTGATAAGTGGTTGCTGAACAGTATCACTAAAAATACCCCGGCCACCTTGGGAAGCCTTTTAAAAACATATCTTTCCATGAGCTCATCTCATGTTGTCAACAGAAATAGCTGCATGCTGCAGTGTCTCCTTGTGCCGGCCGCTCTGAGGCGTGCATTTCTGGGGCTTTGCATCTGCTGACCCATGGAAGCCTCAGGTCTTGCCCTTTTCCCCTACTTCTCATGGGCTAGCAGGTCTGGTAGGCTTGGTGGAAATCTGAGAGCAGCTAGAGCAAAGCATAGGAACAGGAGGCAAGTGTGAATCTGGCCTTTCTTGAAGATGGTGCCTGTGTTATGGAGCAGTCTTAGAGCTCTGTGAGGCTGAGCTTTCCGGTCGGACAGCCTGCCGTGGGTTGTGCTGGGGTTCCCCTGCCCTTGTTTTTTTCCATCACTTAACTTCTGCTTTTTCGTTGGCCTTCTGCTCAGCCTTGCAGAAAGCAGGTGACTGGAGGCAGAGAGTTCTGAGCAGCTGAGAGAGGAGTGGGCTTGCCAAGAGATGTCTGCTCAGCCATGGAGCTGGGAGGGGGCACAGGGCAGGCAGCAGGTGGTAAGCTGCAATTGCTGACCTGCTCTGCTGACAGTCACCCGGCCATTGCACTGACCCCAGTTCCCAGCAGCTGTGGTTGAGGGACAAACAAGAAAACAAAGCTGTGCATTGCAAAACCAATAGAACCAAACCCACTTGAGCCTGGAAGGGACTAATCTGTGACGAAAGCCTTGAGCTGACCCAAGGCTGAGCCCCTCTCACCTTCTGTGCAGGGCTTGCTGCTTCTCAGTCCTGTTTGCTCTTCTGGATGTATGTTGACTCTTAGAGTTTGCTTCAGAGAGTACTTCTGTACCCTGTATCTAGGTAATAATCCTTGCCAGGCACCTGTACAAAACAACACAGGCTCTGTTCCTGAGGCAACAGTGGGATCTTCTTTTTTCTTTTTCTCCCAAATAAGCACAAACACCTGCAACCATTGCTGTGAAATCAGGATAACAGTGCTGTAGTAAGTGTCCTGACCATCTCTTTTTTTTTTTTTCCTACAGTAGCACTTGTACAATGGGCTTGGTGCTGCCACTGTGGAGTGACACCTTGATCCACCTGGATGGGGACGGGTGAGTGTCTTTGTACTTCTGGCAGAGGGTCTCTGTGTGCAGCACAGTCCATGGAGGAGGGTTCAAATGATTTCAGAGCTTCAGCAGATCCAGCAGGCCTTCTGCTATGACCTGTGCCGGGTTAGTGGACCTAAAGGCCCTGAATCACAGCGTCTGTGGCAGGGAGCACCAATAATTGACTTATCTGTGCATAAACACGCATTGAGACAGTGGCTCATGTGTGTGTTTAAGCTGGAGTAAAGGAGCTTTCACTGGCGAGTGGGTGTGTAGTGAAAGCTCCTTAAAGGGATCCTATTATGTGTTCCTCCACCACGCTTGCAGCAGGCAGTGTTCTGCTGAACATGAAATAAGAATGATGTGTCTCTGCCAAGTAGACGCCTGACTTGCAGGCTCCTGTTTGTGCCAGTTACAAAGGCTGTCCAGTGCAGCACTTGGAATGACTTTTCTTTCCTTGGTAGCTGCCCCAGGATCACTTTAGCTGCGCTCTGTTGTTCCCAGCTGTGGCACTGCATTTGTGTTGCCAAGGTAAACAGCACAGCACTGTCCCACTGCCTTAGCTTTTTTCCTGAAGAGCAACTGCTTAAAAAAAAAGGTCACCTTAGTGCTTTTAGTGTGCTATTTTGATATGTTTTCTAGCTGAGCTCAGCAGTCTGCATAGGACCAGTCCTTCACAGCTCTAGCCTGCTGCAAACTCCGTGCTGTAACTGGAAAATCTGCTTTTGGGACACGTTTTTACTGTGCCTCTTTTCTCCACAGCGGGTTCAGTGTATCCACGGATAACAGGGTGCACATATTCAAGCCGGTGTCTGTGCAGGCAATGTGGTAAGCACTCACTGTAATCAGTCCCAGCCATCCTTTTTCCAGTGTTTTGGCTTCTTGGACTTTCAAAAAGCAGGTGCTGCTTTGCGTTAGTGGTATCCTAAGCCCTATTCAATAGCCAGCACTCCCCTTCAGAGACGGGGAAGGAGGGCTGATGCCAGAGGACAAAAGCTGCTCACACCAGGGCACAGCAGTGAGCTGTTAACAATGCTGGAGGCAGGAGGAATAGGGTCATTTTCTTTGCAAAGCACTGCTGCTTTGGATCCCTCCAAATCGGAGTTTGTTACTGATAGGAGCACACATTTGAAGTATTTTATCTGTTGTAAATCAAGAAACACGCTCTGTACGTATTTTAGAAGTTCCCCACTTCAGTGAGGCATAATCACTGTGACAGTGAGAAGGAAAGAGAAGCTGCCTGCATTTTTCTTTCCTTTTTAGGGTGGTTCATGTAAGAATGTAGTGGCCATTAAAGTATTTCTGGCTCAAGCTGCTTTGCATTGCAGAAATACATCCCCTGTCAGGGTGTCATGCTACTGTGTCACCCCAGTGGTTTTGACCTGGATCCTTCTGATCACAGTCAAAGATTTAAAACGAGCTAAAAATAGGAGAGGGGGATTTGTTTCCCAGCAGCAGCTGAAGAAACTTGTAACATCCCTTGTGCAGAGAGGAGGGAGGGCAGGCCCTTATGCACCTCTGTGAAATCAAGCCCTAAACCCTTGTGTGCAGCTTTCTGTGTGCAGTTCTCATCTGTCCTGGCCCTGCACAGGAGGATCTGTATCAGGGCCACTTGCTGTACACTGGTGCAGGCGGTTGCATCATGTTTTGGTGCCTCTGCACTCTGAATTGTGGCCACTTTTGTTGCTATCTGGACAAGAGGAATATGTCTTGGTATGCTTCAGTGAAGTGTGCAATAATCAACGCCCTGTCCAGACAGCACCACAGGCTGCTGCACACAGCACTGGGCTCTGTACCAACCGATGGGACACGAGTAGCATCCTGGATTTGGCAGCTGCTTTGTGCTCAGTGCCATCCTGGTAATCCTGCAAGTATTTTTCCCTTTCTAGGTCTGCTCTGCAGAGTTTACATAAGGCGTGTGAGGTGGCACGAAGCAACAATTACTACCCAGGGAGCCTCTTCCTCACGTGGGTCAGTTACTATGAGAGCCACATCAACTCCGACCAGTCCTCGGTCAATGAGTGGAATGCTATGCAAGATGTGCAGTCCCACCGGCCCGACTCACCCGCCCTCTTCACAGACGTGTGAGTTGGTCTGGCTCTGCTGAGCTGTGCTGTTTGGCAGTCAATGAGGAGCCCTGTTTCCACAGAGTTTACTCTTAACTAGGTCCTAATGAGGAGAGATTTCCTGCTGGGGGTAATAAATGCAACCCTGGTTAGGTAAACACAAGTGCTGGAAGTTTTGCCCTCTTGGGACTGCCTTACATCTCCTCCAGCCTCTGTTTCCATGCTGTTTGTTTACCTTTGGCTTTAGGCTCTCAGATCTTTGTGTGGTAAGTCCTGTGTTACTGCAGTAAGAGAAGGTGTGGTGTAATCTGGTACCCGGGCCTTCCTGTTAGCTAGTTTGTACTCTGGTTTCCAGGCCTGGTGCCTTCCAGAACCATCAGGTTTCTTCGGACTTTGTTCTTATGCTGGAGTGTCTGAGCACATGGAACAACATGGACCTTTTTCCTTACTCAGTTCTTTTAGCTGTGAAGTGTTTAGGTATGGACTTGGGAGACTGAGGCTCTGGAGGATGAGGACAAGCAACAGTGCCAGTCTCTGGGGAGCACTGTACATGTGAAACAGAACCCAATCTGCCTCCAGCTGAGTGTTTGGGTGTCTGCTGATGTACAGACCAAAGCAGCAGCTAAAGTAGATGTGCAGTCAGTTTGGAAAGGCTAAATTTGCAGCCTTTGTCAATACACAGAGGGTTACAACCTCTGTAATAAGTAATTGCTGATGATACTGATAGCATATAACTTTAAAGTACTCTGTGACCAGATGTGATGCCAAGCTTGAGGGCTTCACTGCCTGCTTTGTAGTAGAAGAAATAATTTCACGAACTCCAGCTGCTTTCCCACTGTAATAGTGCTGTAGGTTGATTTGTGCTCACAGAGACCTCATTTTGTTGGAGTTCAGTGAGTGAATAATAATGCTGAGGCAGTTATTCAGCTGTGAATAGGTCTTCACACTTGATTGTTTTTTAATATACAAGGAAAATGCCTGAAAAGTTCTGGCAGGCTTTCAGGTTAATACTGTCTTGCAGCTTTTCCTCTGTAAACTTTGGGTAGCCTGTTCTTTCCCCATTGGCAGCAATTGAATCATCTCCTGGGGACACCTGGACAGCATTCTCTTATCTGAGTCCTGGAGTAATGCTTGAGGTTGAGGAAACTGGCAGCTTGTCTGACTTCTATTCACAAACCACTGGTTGGACACTTGTAAAGCAAAGTGTCTGCGGTTGCCATCCTGGCAGCCCTGCAGAGGAACAGAAAGGTGGTGGGAGATGTGACTGCTGGGCCCCTTCTGAGATGATGATGGCTGAGACAGCTCTGTACTGCTGCTCTGTTGCAACTTCCCCTGGTGCTAGCCAGGCTATTTTTGCAGCTGGTGATAAGGCCCCTGGCAGCAGAGGCTGGAGGAATGCACAGAGGCTTAGCTGCACTCTCCTCTCCATGTAAGGAGCTTTGGAGCTGTTACCTTTCCAAGAAAGGTAGGGAGAGGCTTAGATATTGCTCCAGAGAGTATAATGCAGCCTTCCCAATTTAAATTTTACCAAATACCAGAGGTTCTGTGGATGACTGCAATGGATTAGGAGCATTCAGTTGGTCTCTCTTGTACCACTGGGAACATAAACTGGGCTTTACAGTCACCTGAATTCCCTTCAGCTGGAGATGTGTTTAGACAGAGTAGCGAGGCTGAACAACACAGGCTCTAAAATCACCATGAATCCAGTTCCTGTCCCCACCCACTGACTGTGTTGCTCTCTTCTGACAGCCCAACTGAGCGGGAGCGCACAGAGCGACTCATTAAGACCAAGTTAAGGGAGATCATGATGCAGAAAGATCTGGAGAACATCACATCCAAAGAGGTGAGCGGTGAGGGAGCAGCAGTGCAAATTAAGAGAGTTCTTTGTGCCATGGAGAAAGGCCAAAAGGAAAAAAACCAACTCACGTGGTGTCTTTGTGTTCTCCACCCCACCCAGATACGCACGGAGCTGGAGATGCAGATGGTGTGCAACCTGCGGGAGTTCAAAGAGTTCATTGACAATGAAATGATAGTGATCCTGGGGCAGATGGACAGCCCCACTCAGATATTTGATCATGTCTTTTTGGTGAGTCTGAGAGGGGGTTCCAAAGAGTTACAGCTGGTTTACACCTAACCCTTCTCACCCCGTCTTGGTTAAAGCAAGGGATAGAGAGGAGCTTCAGGGGTCTTTAAAGGAGGGTTTGGCTGATCTTGAGGTCAGCATACACTGAAGCAAGACACAAGACAGCAGTGCTGTTGAACGTTTCTTGGCTATGCCAAATTTTGCCAAGCTGTAGTCCCTGTCACTAGATGGTGGAAGGGGAAGTTTTTAGTCTTAATTTCTTTTTGCGGCTGTTTCCACTGGTGTAGTTTTATGGCTTTAACTGGTTAGGGTACCCACGTGTTAAATTGTGTTTGGGAACAGCATAACTACAGCAGAGAGGGAGGGGAAGGGAGCTGCTGGCATGAGCTTGTGTGAGATTCAGGTGGAATTACACATTGGTGTAAAAAGGAAAGCTCTGAGTTCGTGTGATCCAGCAGGAACAGAGGGGTTTAACCAAGGATCCTGGAGATCAGTCACTTAAGGAAACACAAAAGTTCTGCCTGTTAATGTTTTGCTTGCTTAGCTGCCTTTCATTGCTGCTGGGGCCTGTATAATTACTGCACCTCCTTCTGATGAGTCAGCTCTCTGGATTTCCCAGCCCTGAAGGAACGGACACAGGTTTGGTTGGGCTGTCTGAGCCTATGAGGTTGGCTCGACTTGAAACAAAGCTGAATCCTTTTGGAGCAGCTGGTCTGTCCAAGCAGAGTCAGCCTCTCCCTGTCTCCTGAAGCTTAGGCCTGGGCTGTGGCTCAGGAGGGATGGTGTATGTGAGCACTCAGAAGAAATTGTGGAGGGGTAGAGCCAGGAAACTTAAAGTACTGACGATGTAATGTGTTTGTGTGGACTGGGTGTTCCCAAGAGAGACTTGTTAGAGGATTGCAGTGCTGGTCAAAGGCAATGCAGGCAGTTCAGTCCAAAGCAGAGCTTGGAACCTTGGCTCTGAGTACATTTAATGGGAACAAGACCATAATAAAGAGGCTTGCAGGCAGCACCAAGGAGGAGGGCTGTGGCTGATGTCTGGAACAGAAGTGTTTGCAAAGCAGGCTCTGCAGTGAGGAGCAGTGCTGCTGGGCTGGGCAGCAGCTTCTTCATTCAGGAGCATGTATCCTGCAAAGCAGAGGGCTCTGACAGGCACGGAGCTGGTTTCTGTTGAGTGAAGGCAAGAGCCCTGTGGGATCCTGCTTAGGGAATGCTAACAATAACTAAGCAGGAAGTAAGAGACCTGATGATGTCACTGACTGTGGATCAAGGGGCAGGAGAAAAGACTTGCAGCGCTGTACTCTGTACCTGTGGAAATGATGGTTCTCAGGCTGGAGTTAATTTGCCCTTCCTTGGCCAGGAAGCAACAATGTGAAGCTGACTAAGGCAATATGGCAATAAACTTGTTGGCAGATGCTGAATAGCAAGCTGTGAGTAGGGCTGTTCTGCTGTCAGTGCTGCCTGGGTCCTTCTTGCATCTGAGCTATGCTTTTATTAGGAGCTGTTTCTGTTCAGGGCAGGGAAGCAAAGAGCTCACATGCCATCATTTGTGAAGGAAGCTGTTGTCTGAGTGGCCTTGATCTCAGCTGAGGTGTTTGGGCAGGAAGCAAGCAGCCTGCAGGCCCTGAGCATGCTGCAGAGATGAGGGTAAAGCCTGTTTGTGTCTTTGCTCATGCAGGCTTTGAGTATGGAGATGTGTGTATCAAGTGAGCTTACAGGGTTGCTGCCTTTGATGTATAAGATGGGTGTTTCGTGTATAAAGAGCACCTGGGTGGTTTTAAACACAAGCAGGCTCTGCTTTGTGGGGCAGAGCTGTCAGCAGCCTCCAGGGAAAGGGTGGAGCAGGCTCAACTGTGCTGGGGTTCTCAGTGGTTTGCAGGAAGTGTACAGTGCTGGGCTCCTGCTTTGCAGAGCTGTTTGTTGCTTCAGAAGGGATCTGGCTGATGGGTTTGCTGGATTTGAGGTCATGGTGGCAGTCCCTGGATCCATCAGTTATCCTTCATCTGGCTGATGTGTCCCATTGCATGTTTTCCCTGCAGGGCTCTGAATGGAATGCCTCCAATCTGGAAGACTTGCAGAACAGAGGGTGAGTAGCTTCAGGCCATCAGCTTAAAAGCAGGAGCTTGCCCTCAACACTTGTCTATGCACTAAACCTTACCTGCTGAGTAACCTGAGACTTATTAAAGGGTTTGCAGATCTGAACAAGCTCTTGCTTCCTCCGAAGTCTATGTCCTCCCACAAACAGGCACTCTAAAGTAAAAGAATCTCATTCCCTGACCTTGACTGACATCCCCTTGGTGAACAAAGGAAGCCAGCTACCTCGTAGCTACAAGCAGCAGAAAGCTACAGTTACTTAACTGGATGCTGTGTTGCTGGCTCTGTGCCCCTCTCTTTAGCCTTCACCATTACTGGAGCCTGGAGCTCCAGACTGCAGCAGGAAGGAAAACGTGAAGGAGCATTTGTTCCTTTGAGTGGGGCCCTGGAGGAAGTACAGTGCTGTAGCTCTAGGGCTTAGCAATGGGAGCTGCTCTGCTTTCTGCCTTTCCTCTCTTTCAAACATAAGGTTAGAGTGTCCTCTCCCTAGGTCGGGTGGATCTGAGCACCAAGATTGTGTAATTAAATCATTACTTACAGGTTTGGCTGATTTATGCCAATCCAGTGGAAAAAAATACTCACTGCTGAGCTGAGTTTGATAGCAGACTTCTGCTCTGTGAAGAACCAGCGTAGCAAAATCGACTCATTAAGCCAAGGGTCTGCTGCAGTTTCCATGGTCAAGCAGGTCCCACTTGACTGCTAATGATCTCATACCAGCTGGAGAGATGGGATGTCCCTCACAGCTCTTCTAAGTCTGGCAACTCAGCATGAGTGCAGTTCATAAACTCCTTACAAGTGACCCTCGGGGCTAAGGGTCCTGGATGGAGTGGTAAAAACCATATGCCTTCTCTCTCTGTAATTCCAAAAGACTTAGGGAGAAGCAAGAAATCTTCCCAGTGGCCCATTGTCTGTTAACTCTCTCTGTATTTATTCTATACGTTTGTTTAACTACAGTATTGCTCCTGAGCTTGTGCCTTCCATCTTCTGTGTTATTGCTGCAGCAGGAGGAAAGGCTCATGAAGGAGCTTCGAGGAAGCATTCAAACACAAGCAGAATGGGCTGTGCAGGAATGTTAGCAATGCTTAGAGCAGAGAGGTGATGGGCAAGCAGAGCCACTGACAGATGTGAGGAAGAGCTCTGAGTTGCTCAGAGAGCTCTTTTGTCTGTGTTAGGCAGTGCTTCCTTGCTCTCCGTCCTAATTTCCAGGGAGGTATGTTCAGGACTGCAGCTCTGAATGCTGTGCATTTTGCCAGTCACAAAGGGAGACAAAGCTGTTATCTAGAAGCTGTGATGTGTCTCTGAACCCACTGCGTTCTGCACAGTCTGCGTTTTTATCTGCTGTGTGTTTCCATGCAGGGTGCGGTATATTTTGAATGTGACTCGAGAAATAGATAACTTCTTCCCTGGCCTTTTTGAGTACCATAATATTCGGGTGTACGATGAAGAAGCAACAGATCTTCTGGCTTACTGGAATGATACTTACAAATTCATCTCCAAGGCAAAGTAAGTCTTTTCAGAACAGATGAAGCGCATTTAGAAGATATAAACTGAGCACTTATTACTTTCCCAATGCTTTTGTCAACTAGTTTTCTTACTTGCCTGCCTAGACATTCATTTTGTGGTCTTTTTAAGTGCTAGAGCTGCCTTCCGTGAGCTGTTGTCCTTAATGTGCTTGCAAAAGGAGCAGGTAGGACTGAGAGGAGGTGATCTCTCCTGTATCAGGGAGCTAACAGTTCACCTGCTGCTTAAGAGACATGCTGGGTCTCTGGAGTGCTGGTGGGAGGAAAAGGCAGTAACAAATGGAGCAGGGTTTATCAAAAGTAAGAAGGAAAATTTTGAAATATGAACACAAGCATAAGCTGTTCCCTGCTTTGCTAGGCTGTACTGTGAAGCCTACAGTCTGGAAGCGAGTTTATGTAGTGTTATATAGAGCAAACTCTTCCCTTTTAACAAGGCTGCATAAGTCTCTGAGCTGTCAGTTACACTGAGTAATCTGATAGTGGATGTTGAAAGTTGTCACTTTTTACTGCTAAGAGCTGTATCCCAGTTATACGAGCTGTCTCCAGTTAAGTCAGCAGCCTTTTTATGGGAAAACTGGTCAGAAAGCAGAGTGGCATATGTTGCCTTTAAAGTATTGTTTCCATTATAGCAGTCTGTCTTCTCTTAACCACAGCTGGTGCTTGCAGGTTTCTCATAGCCTTGAAAAGCTGACTTGTTTGAGTATGGCTCTCCTGAGCAAGTTGTAGATACATATTTTATTGAAGACTGTTTCTTTAAAAGGCATCACTGTTTTCCCTTGAGTTCTGGCTTTGAAGTGTTGTCATCCTCAAGTACTTTTCTTCCCAGAATAATTTCCACTGGGCTTGAATTGCTGGGCCTCAGTTCTACATGTGATGTGATGGAAGTGAGGAGTCTTTTAGGCTGGAGCTGTTACCATACCCCTTCCTTTGTCCTGTCTGCCTGCTGGCCAGGGGTTGTGCTGGCCAGCATCTGAAGACTGCTTAAGGTTTTCTCAGCTTTGTACATGCACGAGGATGGCAATACTTGGAAAAATTCTTGAGGATGACAGCACTTCAAAAGCAGTACTTAGGGGAGAACAGTGATGTGCAAAGACTGCTATAGCATAGAACCCCTATGCTACAGTGCAGACATCTCCTCTGAGCAATGTGGCTGCAGGTATGGGCTCAGGCAGCTGTGCTGGCTTGTTGAGGCTCGTGGCTGCGTGTGCTCCATCACCTCCCAGTTTGTCCTGTGGGAGCTTCATGTGGCTGGCAGTACAAAAACCTGGCACATGAAGGAGAAAACTCCAGGAGCCAAAGTGAAGTTTTCTCAGCCTTCACTGTACCGCTGTGCAGAGGTCAGAGATAAGGACCAGCTAGCCTTCCTCCTCCCATTTCATGGCAAACACACACCTCTGAATTCCTGGGAGCAGTGCTGGCTGCCCATATGTGCTCCTGTACCAGCCTCCCCCAGGCACAGTGGGTGCTCCTTCAGCTCACACTGTTTGCTTTCCCTTCAGTAAGAAAAATCTCTCGATCTGGGTGGGAGCTAGGAAGGGTTTCCAACACCTGGCTAAAGCTGAGCTGGTTTTGTCCAGTCACCAAACCCAATAAATACGTTGTCAGTAGCTTACAGTGGGAAAGGATCTTTGTGCTAGCAGCTCTCCTGAACTGTTGGAATCTTCCAAGGTTATGTTTGTGGATGTGATACCATGTTTGTGTGACAGATGCCCTTTTTATTTGGAGAACTGCTTGTTTCCAGTGGGTTGTTAAGGCTGGAAGATGCCATATCAATCCTCAACAGTCTTCCTAAATCTGCACAAACAAACGATGTTTGTCCACTTTGGAAGAGCTCTTGTAACTAAATCTGTTAAGAATATTAAGATCTCGTTCTTCACTTTCTTTGTCTCTTGCTCTAGTTTGTAAATAGGATTTCCAGATGACAACCAAGAGATTCCAAACGAGTCCATGGCACTGAAAATATTTGATAATGCTCTGGTAGATAACTTGCTGTTTTCTTAAGCTTCTCAGAAGCTGTGCTTTCTGTTTAGTGATTCTCTTTGTGTTTCACATCAGGAAAAATGGTTCCAAGTGCCTGGTGCACTGCAAGATGGGGGTGAGCCGCTCAGCCTCCACAGTCATTGCCTATGCCATGAAGGAGTACGGCTGGAACCTGGACAGGGCTTACGACTACGTGAAGGAGCGGCGCACGGTCACCAAGCCCAACCCCAGCTTTATGAGGCAGCTGGAGGAATACCAGGGGATCCTGCTGGCAAGGTGAGTGGGGGAATGACTGGGGATCTCAAGGGAAGAGCTCCCATCCCTGCGTTATGGTTATCTGGGGAAAGGTAGCGCTCTGCTGTCATGGCTTGGGAGCACTGGAACAGGTTGCCCAAGGAGGCTGTGGATGCCCCATCCCTGCAGGCATTCAAGGCCAGGCTGGATGTGGTTCTGGGCAGCCTGGTCTGCTGGTTGGCAACCCTATACGTAGCAGGGTGTTGAAACCAGATGATCATCATGGTCCTTTTCAACCCAGGCCATTCTGTGATTCTGTGAAAATGGGTGTAACAAAGAGCTTTGAGGAGCCTGTTTGACTTCTAAGTGGTTTTCTTTAGGGGATTGCTACTACTATCTGAACGCAGCATTCAGAGCTGTGCAGGCTCCAGCAGAGATAAATGATGTCCCTCTTTCTTGGCAGGGAGCTGGCTTTGTCTCCATCCCAGCCTTCCAGCTCCCTGTTGAACGTGCCCCTCCTCAGCAGCTGGTCTGGTTTTATTTAGATCTCTTTGGTAGGTGTTGCTGTTAGGGGAGGGGACAGGATGTTCTGTGCATTGCAACAGTGGTGTTTGTTCCTGTGTGGAGTTCTAGGGCTGGGATGGGGTACGGGCAAGTGTCTTGTAATCCCAAACCTATCACCTATTAGCAAAAAGACATAAATATTGCAAGAAATCTGCCTGTAAGCTGTGTTAAGCAATGTCTCCACGTGATCAGCTGGAAGGAGGTAGTGATACTTCTGTGTTTTGCCAGATGATTTATGTAGGACCCTGGTGTGCCTTGCAGGGCAGCAAATTTCAGCAGAGCTACCCAAGCTGACTCTCCTGCTACAGGAGGTGGCTTGTCAACATCTTTTGGCCGAAGTAGTAATTTCATAGCTGCTTATTGCAGTTGAAAGGTGCCTGCCCTGTGCTGTTCTTCACAGCAGCTTGGGTATACCTGTGCTCTCTCCAGGGCACCCAGGGCTCTGTCTTTCACCATCTTGTTTTTGTCCCTTTGGCCTTTCCCACCCACTTGCAGAGATCTCCCTTCCCTCTCTGTGCTCATGATTTCCCTCTCCACTTGCTTCCAGCTCTCTGATATCTCTGTTGGGCCAGGTCTGGGTTCCTGATTCTTACACCAAACTCTGATTTAGAGGTGACTGACCACATAGCATGGCCAGGCTGCAAAATTTAGTCTTCTTGGGTGGAGGAAAAAAAGACTTTGAAGATGAGAAAAGCACCAACATCCTGTACAGCCTTCACAGGTTTGTAAACACCTGAGAAGAGCCTGGGTTTGCTTGCTGCTGCAGCATCACATCTTCAAGCCCTCAGCCCTGCTTTGGCTGATCTGTCAGTCTGGTAGTTGGTGGCACACCTACAAAGCCACCCTGTACAAATGGTTTAGCTAAGAGCGTTTGGTTCTCTTTCCTGTCTGTTTCAGTAATTACTTTGTCAAGAGGGAAGTCTTTCTTGCTGCCAACACATGGTGTAGCTGCCCTCCCACTTGAGCACACCACAGCTCCTGACCTACTCTGCAAGTCCCTGTACAATGGCACAAACAGGATTACTCGTGAGGCTTTAAAAAATGCAAGAGCAGTGCATTACATCTGTGCATGTAGGACTAAAAAGCCTGCAGTAAGTGAAGCTTCACTGAAGCAAGGAACAGCCTCTCTGTGCTGCTGGAACGAGCCTTCTTTATGTGCTGCTTTTCTCATCTCTAAACTGCTTTTTCTCCCCTTTCTTCTCCATTATTTAGCACTCCCCTCTGGCTTCCAGCTGCCTTATTTATTGCTGTGGTATTCCAGGCCAGGTAAAAAAACAAAAACAACAGCAAAAAAACCCCAACAGATTCATGCTCATGTGACTGCTCGGATTTCAGAGGGGAGGTCTGTGAGGGCAGCCATGTGCTCGCACTATCTAGTTACGGTTTTGTGTTGAGCTTATAGCAACTGGGACGTGTAAAATGAAAACCCCCTGCCTGCTTTTAGTCTCAACAACAGGCGTGTTTTGCTTTGGAGCTGTCATACTTCCTGGGATTAGTTAAGCTGTCCCCTCCCTCTGGTGATAGCGGCAGAGAGGCCAAGCTAAAAAACCTGTTTCTTTTATTAGTTATTAGAAGCAAAACACTGCTTGGCATCGCCTTGTGCATCTTGTGAGTCAACAGCAGTGGTCTTCCTAGGAGCCTGGAGGTCTGGCTGCGGCATGGCCATGAGCACAGCCACCAGCTGGGCTCTGCTGGGTGTGAGGAGAGGCAGTGAGCATCGTTGAGGTTCGGAAAACAGCAGCAGCTGCTCCCCAGGTTATGCAAGCAGAGACACGGGCAGTCCTTGCCATCCCTTGCAGACAGGCCTAGATCTATTGCTGGCACCCAGCTGTGCTCCAGGACCCCCAGGGATGGAGCCTGCACCCATGGCAGTGCCTGGTGGCATCTTGTCCTGCCCTTCCTCTAGAAGGACCCCATTGTGCCCCATGCCACGCATGAAGGCTGTCACTGAGATGGGGTTAAGAAGCTAAATCCATGATGGATTATTTTCCTTAGCTGTTGGGCACCCACAACTAAAATTGCTGCATTCTAATTAGTTCAGTAGCGTCTGTTAATTAACTTAACTGCAACCAGCGGCCGTGTCTGGGAGCGATGCTCACACTGGCAGGGGACTGAAGAGGTTTGGCTGTGTCTCCTGTGGATTCCAGGGCCTTTCTGTGGTATGTGCTCTCCTCCTAGGGGCAAGTGGTGGAAGCACAGCCCTGTGGCCACGGTCACTCAGCAGAGCCCTGGCCTGCTGGTGTGGTTTGGTTGTGACAGGTTGCCTCCTTGACTCTCTGTAAGCCCAGAACGTGGGCTGGTTTCTTGGCAGGTGGAAGTTATGGTGGTGCAATGCTTGGACCTTTCTAAAGGGGCTTTCCAAGAGCTGCAGAACTCCTGACCTTCCTTCCTGTGGAAAGACAGGTGGTGTTTGGGGCTGATTGCTGGCTGCAGAGAATGTCTTCTGTGTTTTCCCATCACGCTCATACATGTCCAGCACACTTCTGGTTACCAGAGCCCCAGTACTGACCACTGAAGTTGCTCAGAGGAAGCCACGAGGAAATGAGTCTTCATTCCTTGTCCACCACCCAGCATTGAGGACCCTGTTCCTTCTGGTCCCTGCTCACCTGTGAGCACATGGGAGAACACCCTCTGGCTGAGGAATAACCAGTCCATAGCCCATCAAATTTTGTATTTGATGAGTAAACTGATAAAATACTGCTGGGGAGTGGGGGGTGTGTGTGTGTGTGTGTAGAGTGGGAGAGTGCAGTGGGATGTAGCTAATGAAAAGCAGCTTGTTCCTGGGACAGCTCCTCCAGCAGCAGGTTTGACCCTGAAACACTGAGGTTAAGCTGCAGCTGTGCTGACTGTCTCCAATATTTGCAGTTTTTCATGTAGGCTGCATCCTCTTACAACGAGGTGACTCTGGTATGTGAAAGCACCACTCAGTGTTTCCTCTGCTCTTCCTCCCCGCAGCAAGCAGCGGCACAACAAGCTGTGGCGTTCGCACTCTGACAGCGACCTCTCTGACCACCATGAGCCCATCTGCAAATCAGGGCTGGAACTGAACAAGAAGGAGATCACTACCTCGGCCGACCAGATCTCCGAGGCCAAGAGCAACGACAACCAGCAGCCCATGTCTCCCATCTACCCTGCTGAGCTGGAGCGGGAGCAGCTCGCAGAGGATGCAAATGTGATTGAGGAGAGCTGTGTGAAAGAGAGGAGGATCCACCTGGAGTTCACATGTAGAGACTTCCATGTGGAGCAAATGGAGGACAAGCTGAACCTGAACAACATCAATGGCTGTACGGCAGGGTGCTGTGTGGGTTCTGTCCCCCCCGATAACTGCCATGCTTCTGAGGCCTTAATGCAACTCCAGCACCCCTTGGAAATAACAGAATTTCCTGATTTGACTGTAGACGATTTGGAAAAAGATGCCCTTAAGCCTGATATGAACGTGCACTTGGTTCCCATGGAAGAATTCACTTTGTGCTTAAAAGACTCTCTCCAGTCCCCAAACCAAAACGCGCCAAGTCTGCAGCAGAGTGCCCAGCCTGAAGGGACGGACCTCAGTGCCGACAGGATTGACTTCTTCAGTGCTTTGGAGAAATTCGTGGAGCTCTCTCAGGAGAGCAGGTCACGCAGCTGCTCCCACTCCCGGCCGGAGGAGCAAGGTGCTGGGAGGAATGGGGCAGCCAGGCTGCCTGTGCTGGAGGTGCTGCCTGCTGCAGACGTGGGTGCAGACGCCCAAAGGAACAGCTCTGGAAATTCCCCTCAGGCATCAGATGACTCTTCCACAGATGAAGAGCAACAAAAGGTTAAAACGACTTGCTGGGGGCTTTAGGAACTGCTGTTCCAACCTGCCTGTGTGTAGCTGCCTTGCTGTGGGGTTGCTGTCTTGCTTGGCCTTTAGGGGAGAGATTGCTAGATGCTTGTCCTACTCTGTGCTTTTAGAAGCTTGCTGCTTTCTGTGCTCTTTGCTCAAACACCTGTTTACTGGCAGTGCAGGGCTGAGTCAACCTTGACCTGACCTGCTCTGTTGTTCTCATGAGAAACTTATTTTTGAGTTTCTCATCAGGAGAGCGGATAGGTGGGACGTGAGCCATTAGGGCAGCTGAGGCCAGCCAGCATCCTGAACCTGCACGGGTAGTTTGTCTGCCTCGAGGAATGCACCAAATAACGGGACAGAGCTGGCACTTCTCCCTGCTTGGAAAACACCAGCACTGAGACAGTAAATTGAGGCAGATGTAGAGCTTCTGCTGATTGAAAAAGAGAGTGAGCCTGGCCAGGCTCAGGGGGGTGGTCTCGCATATGTCGTGGCTGACTTCTCTCCTGGGGCAGAACTCAGTAACCTCTGAATTTAGGCACCTTTCTCTTATTATTGCTTCCTACCCTGCAGCAGTCTCACAGGGTTTGATGGTGTCCAGGGCCATCATTTTTTTAGGAGCCTCTCTTATTTAAATTCCACCCTGCATTGCTTGAATCGTTTCCATCTCCATGTGAGGCACTAAGGCTCATCCAAATAGAAGAGGCCATCTCCCTCCAGCAATTTGGCAGGAAGAGTTTCTGTGCTGCTGGGGGAGCATTGCTGCCTGTTCTGCTCCGGGAAACCAGAGTGGTTCCGCACTCAGCCCTTCTTCATGCTGCCCTTCTGTTCACTCCCCTACCTGAGCAGTCTCTTTGAGCATTTTCAGTTCAAAACTTGGGTTTTTTGGTTAATTATTTTTCCCTCAGAACTCGTGGCAAGAAAATAACAGTTCTTAAATCCAGTCTGAGTGGAAATCCAGCCTGGAATATGTAGAGTGCAGGCCCAGAGATTATTGCTTCTGTGCTAGCGATCATTGTGTACTTGCAATCCATCCCTGCACATCAGCACACATGCTTTCTGCTCCTTTGGAGGAGTGCACCCTCACTGCCGTTAAGCTGCTGCTGTGTGCTGTTTGTAATTCCTGTTTCTGCCTTGCAGGAGGTCCCTGAACTGCCTGGCGCCGATCATCTCACACGGTCCCACTCAGAAAATGCCATTTCGGTGAAGGAAATCATCACAGAGATCGAGTCCATCAAGCAGGGAGCAGGGCCTGCTCAGCAGAAGGAGGGTTCAGCCAACCTCACCCTGACACCAAAGAGGAACACGGTACACGACCTGCCTGTGGAGGTGATCTGGGCGTCAGAAAGGGTGGATCAGAGCGAAGGACATCAGGAAAAGGAGAAAGACCCTCTACAAGCTGAGCAAGAAACTGTTCCCTCACCACAGCTCTCCTCCTGCAAGTCAGAGCTGGAGGAGGGTGAGCAGCACAGCGTCCACCCTGAGCCCAAGTGGTGCCCCGGCTCCGTCCGCAGAGCCACGTTGGAGTTTGAGGAGCGTTTGAGGCAGGAGCAAGAGCACCAGCACGTGTCCCCAGTCTGCATCCTACTGACCCGCAAGAACTCCAGGAACGACTCTCCTGCTGCTGAGCTGCTGCCGCGGGGGAGGACGGAGGAGCTGCCCTTGGAGTTGGCTCCAGATGATGATGCAGTGCAGGGCTCCGAGGAGCTGCTGTCACTGGGGGCAGAGCAGCCTGCAGGCAGGCAGCTGCCCACACCCCTCACGCACCCCACAGAGCCCAGCCCAGGGCAGGAGGAGCACAGGGTGGTGGTGTCTTTTGATGGCACGGAGGAGCCGGCCCTGCCTTCCCTCCTTCCCAAAAGAATCGAAATCATTGAGTTCACTCCTACGGTCAGGGCTGCCGAGAGCCCCGCTGCAGGCAATGAGCAGCCCGCAGCCCTCCCTCTGCTGGATGAAAACTTGAACCCTTCGCTGTGCTCCGAGAAGGCAGCAGCCTCTCTCAGAGCTCTGGTACACCCGCCACTGCCAGAGCACACGGTGCAGCAGCAGCAGCAGCAGGCTGCCTGCACCCTGCTCAGCCCCAGCGAGGAAGGCACTGCCTTGTCCTTTCCCCTCGGTGCTGCTTCCCCCTCTGCCCAGCCCTCCTGCATGCCTTCAGCCAGCCCTGACCGCTCTGCGTTCCCCTGTGTGATCCCCCTGGAAGGTGTCACTGAGCAGAGCACGAGCACGGACAATGAGCCGACCGCGCCGTGCGGCACTGCGGGAGCTGTGAGTCTCCCATTCAGAGACAGCAGCCAGGCTCCACGCCAGGGTGGTGCTGGCTCCTCAACCAGCCTGCACGCTGCAAACGTGGACCTTCTGGACATCTCCTTCCTGTGCTGCAGCCTGCCCCACAGCTCCAGCAGTCACAGCGTGGGGGAGCGCAGCAGCAGCCCTGGGCTGGTCAAGCAGCGAGCGAAGGAAATAGAGGCACGGATCCGGCACGCAGGGCTCACCACCCCCTCCCAGATGAAGAGATCAGCATCCTTGGCCAAACTGGACTGCCTGGACCTCTCCAAGGACGACTTATCCGAGAGGGAGGCGGCCTCCCGCTGCACCAGCCCCATCCTCCTCACCTGCATGGGTGCGGGCTTTCACGGGGGGAGGTCAGAGCAGAGCTTGCAGAGCCCATGTGAGAAATGCCACCCGTTCTCCCCACCCACCCTCCAGGATCCCAAACCTGCTCAGCATTTTGTAGAGCAGCTCAGAACAGCCGAGTGCATTGCTCAGAGCAGGCCGGTGGAGCGCCCGCTGGCTCAGTACGCCAAAGAGTGCGGCTCCAGCCAGCACAGCTCGGCTCCCAGCGCCGGTCCCACATGGACTGCCCCCCAGGAGGGACCCTCTGTGTTGGCAACACCCCGACAGCAGCACGGTAGAACTCACCCGTTGAGGAGACTTAAAAAGAGCAATGACAGAAAGCGGACAACCAATCCCCTCTATAACACCATGTGATTGTGAGAGCTCCGTGGTTCCATCCGGGGAGCTGCGCCGTGGTCACACAAAGGGGCAGGTGTAATATAAGGAACATGCACTTTATTGGTTAATTTTATATATATATATATATATATATATATAGTCATTTTACCGTTCCTGGCGCATGTAGGTGTGTGGGTTGGTTCTTCTGTGTGTGACTCTGACTGCAGGACTGTTGGTTGGTTTTTGTTTTGTTTTGTTTTGTTTTTAAATGATTTTTTTTTATGAACTCGGATAACCTCAGATGTTCTTTTTGTTGTTGGTTTGTTTTAAAAGAACACCTCTCCCCTGTTGAAAACGGATGCTGGCTCACTGCAGCGGGGCAGAGGTTTGCTCAAAACCAGCTCCTAGATCCTCACTTGAATCAGCCCCGTGCCTCGAGATGGTGCTGGGCACTGGGGCGAGAGCCCACGCAACTGTGAAGGCTGTGCCAAGTCCCCTTTGTTCACTTTGTGCTGCAGGCTGGAGCTGGATGGTGCTGGCAGGTCCCTGATGGAGCTCAGTTCTGCCTGTGTGCTCCAACAGGAGCACAGGGGTGGGTTTGGGGACCCTCAGCTCTGCCCTCACCTCTTCCTCCAGCTGAGAGCCCACGACCCAGAGTGTTCTTCTAAAACAAACACCTCAGTAGGGCATGAGCCCTCCCGTTACTTGAATTCTGCTGTGGGCCTTCCACGTTCATGGCCATATCGTGTCCTCTGCCCTCTGCTGCCTCCCTGCACCCCGGAGCTGCCCTGCATCCCCTCTGCATCCCACAGCCCGTTGTAGTTGTTACACGTTTTGTTCCCACACTGAATGCAAAGCTTTGTCTTCTGCTGCCACTCCTGTACTCAGCCTGGAGGGAGGATCTTTCCTGGAAGATTTGGTTTTTTGCTAAATTGTATATATGGTATTTATATAGATATTTTTTTGTTTCTATGTTGGTTATTACTTTGTTTTTTTTTTTTTAAGGGCAAGACTGCATTCTGTAAACTGGAAAACACCACCACTTTCCTCACCCTCAGTGCTGTCCATGGCAATCTGCACCCAAACGCAGTGGCTTTGGCCAAATGTCTCCTCCAGCCCTGTGTTCTCTTCTGCAGCTCCTGGCCTCTCCCAGACCCACGTGGTTGCTCCCAGTTTCAGGCCTGCTCTGCACTGCCTGGTGCCTGGCCCTGCCAGGAGCTGCAGAACGGCTCCTGCTGCTGAAAGTGCAGTGCCCAGAGAGCACAGAGCAGGAGGAGCAGCACCTCAGGCCGTGCCTGGAAAGCAGCAGCGGTGCTGCAGGCTGTGCTGGGATGAGCTCACCTCCTGCTGCAGGGCAGCTCATGCCACCAGAGCCGTCTGGCAGGATTTGCCCCTCCTGCAGCTCCTGGGCTCCTCCTGCTGCCTTGCTGCAGCCCAGAGCCCCGGTGCATGTCCTGCTGTAGCTCTGCAAGCTGCCCTAGCAGTGCTGGCTGCAGTCTGGAGTGCAGCCCAAGGCTCGGATAGCACCGGGCCATGGCTTGCTGTGGGGCCACGTGGCTCCCAGTGGCTCCAGCTGGCCTTGGAGCCAGGCAGGCAGCACAGAAGGCCATGTGCCCCGGGGTCAGCTATGAAGGACAGCTTCAGCCCTCACTTCCCTGGCTTTCTCCACCTAGTTTGGTCTCAGGAGAGGTACTCTTTTTGCAGAACAGAAATGTGCTTCCTCCCAGTGCTCCTCTGCAGAGCCGCAGTGCTGTGCTGTCCCCTCGTCCCCAGCCCAGCCTTGTTCCCTTCCAGCATTACAAAGGCACTGAGGGGCTCTGAACCCACTGGCAGAAGGGGTGCACAGTGCTGGGTGCTCAGCCATAGCCACCGGGCTCAGAGGTTCCCCCTGGGGGCTGTGCACCCCATCTCTGTGCTGTCAGCAATCCCCTTGCCGGTGGGCTTTTGGGAGGAACACGGTGTTTGAAGGGCATTTTGTACAAAGCAGCCGTTCCTTTGGTCTCTCCAAGCCCTCCCAGAGGACGCTCAGTTGTTTACATTGACTCCTGTACAATATCTCAGCCATTGCCCCCCCTGCCCCCATCTCTGCCCGTACTGTAAGTGTGAGCCTTGCACAGACGGATAGCGCCCGCATCCACCTGGTTTTTACACTGTGTTCTGTTGCACTCTATGGTGTGTGTGTGTGTGTGCGTGCGTCCCATCCTTCCCAAAGTCATCCCATGTACAGACCCCCCCCCCCATCAGCCCCATCCTGGAGGTGACCCCTGGTGGAAGGGAACCTACGAGGCACCATTGGGCCGTAGCACTGGGATAGGGCTGTGCTCCCGGCCATCTCCCACAGCACCAAGACCTGTGCTGGTGCCTTTACATCCCTGCCCTGACGTGCAGAGTCCGTGTGCTCAGCTGTGACCGGGGATGGAGCACACGTGTGCCCCCTGGGTGTCCCTCGGTGCCTGGGATCGTCCCTTTCCCCCACCTCCCCCCCCCCATACTCCTCTAAGAGACTTTATGACCGATGTGCTCCGCTGTTTTTAAATGTGAACTTGTGCACTGATGTGCAGATTCAATGTTCTTGTTACCGAATGAATAAAAGTTTTATTTTGACGACGATGTCAGCCTGCTGCCTCCTGCTCGGGGCTGGGGGGCTCTGTGTCCCTGCTTGGATTCTGTCCGTCTCCCCCAGCCCAGGTGGTGCACTGAGGGTGGAGGACCCCAGCCCCAAAATCCCTCCAGGGCTGTGCCCAGAGCGAGCCCAGGCACTGGGGGTGTTGCAGTAGTGCTGGGGGTGCCTGGTCTCCCCTTCTGCCCTCGTGCCCATTGGAAAAAGGCTCCTGGGGTCCCCCGGCCCTATGGGGATGTGCAGCAGGGCAGAGCTGTGGGGTGCTGTGACGGGATGTTGTCCCGCAGCCCCCGGGCGGGTGGGTGGATGTGACTTTCCCTGCTGACCCGCTCAGCACAGCCAATGCTCTGCTCGGTGCCCTTGTAGGGGCCATCGCCCGCTGCCTTTCCAGGAACCCCCTGCCCCGGCTCCCCCCCGGCCTTACGATCCCTTTAATCCCCTTTGGGCCGGTGCAGTCCCGGCGGGGCCGAGCTCCGCTAAATCCCAACGAGCATCCCGTGGGGGCGGGCGAAAGGGGGGGGGGGGAAGGGGGTGGGCATAGGGATGCTGCGCCGCCGCCGCCCCCCGCGGCGCGTATCCCCCATCCCGGTGGGTTCGGGGCGGGCAGCGCTCGGCCGGGGGCGGGCAGGGCCCGGTAAGGGCAGGCGGGGCCGGGCCCCCCCTCCCCGCCTCCTCCCGGTGCCCGCAGCGGGGGGGCCGTGCCGGCCCGGCTCCGGGCTGGGCTCAGCTGTTCCCTGCGGCACTGCGCGCCCCGCGCAGCCCGACCGAGCGGAGCCGAGCCGAGCCGGGCCGTGCCGTGCCGCGCCGTGCCGGGCGGAGCGGGGCCGGGGACGCGGGAGCGGGCGGAGCCGAACGGGGCAGCAGCGGAACGCAGGTGCGAGCGGGGTCGGTGATGGGGCCGAGCCGGGGGGAGCGGGGGGCGAGGGGAGAGGAGAAGGGCGGTGGGAGCGGAGCGGAGAGCCCCGGGCCCCCGGCCCCTCGTCCCGCCGGGCCCCGCCGGGAGATGGCTATAAATGGAAAGTGACCTCTGGTCGTTCCCGAGCGGCCGCTGCGGATTCAATTGTGGCAACGTAATGGCACGGCCGGGAGCGGGGTGCCCTGCCCGCACCGCGCCCGCTGCCCCTGCACCCCCTGCACGCTGCCTGCGGCCCCTCCGACCCCGTCCGCCCGCACCCCTTGCGCCGGTCCTGCAGCCTCTGCACCCCGCCTGCACCCCGCCTGCGCTCCATGCACCCTCCTGCACCCCACCTGCCCCCCAGCTGCCTCCCAGACACCCCATGCACCCACCTGCACCCCGTGCACCTGTCCTGCCCTCACCTGCCCCTCGCTGCACCCCACACGCCGTGTGCCCCCAGCTGCCCCTCGCCCCCCAGGCAGCCCCTCATCCCTTCCCTGTCCCCATCCGCACTCCCAGCTGTGCTCCCTTTATGCCAGATGGATTCTGCAGGACAGCCCTGTGCAGCCCCTCGCTGCCCCCCAGCACTGAGGGCCTTGTCCTGGTGGTGACACCACTTCGGGGACCCCCCAACTCCTGGGCAGTGCCAAAGGGGCACAAACCCACAGGGACGTGCTGTGCTGTGCCAGGTTGTGATGCCGACTGACCCCAAAGGGCACTGCGGGGTGGTGGGGTCACCATCCCACGGGCACTGCAGAGCTGCAGCACTGGGAGTGACTCTGGGGTCTCCAGAAGGGTCAGTGCACACCTGGCAGGGGCCGGGGTGATGAGCATGGGGTAACCCCAATTAGACTCCAGGCTCCTCTCCACTCCCTCTGCACATGGGGCCGTGTGGCCGTGCTGCCCAAAGCTCTGGTGTTCTGAGTCCCCAGCACTGGGCAGGTGTGACCCAGGTGGGAGACCTCAGATCACTGCTATGGGATGGGACACAAGGGGACAAACAGGGATTAGGAGCTGCATGGCACCTCCTAATCCCCCCCTCCAGAACTCTTTGAGTCCTGCTTTTCCACTGTCACTACATCTGGGTCAGCTCCGGTGATGGCCACAGGGCATGGCACAGCCATGGGGATGGCATGGACATAGGACATGACATAACCATGGGGCTGGCACAGGCATAGGGCATGGCACGGCCATGTGGGATGGCACAGCCATAGGGCATGGCACAGCCATGAGTGTGGCACAGCCCTGGTGCATGGTACAGCCATAGGGCATGGCACAGCCATGGGGGATGGCACAGCCATAGCCACAGCACAGCCATAGGGCATGGCACAGCTATGGGACATGGCACAGCCATAGGGCATGGCACAGCCCTAGTGCACAGCACAGCCACATCCCCGTCACAGAGCAGACAGACAGCACTGTGCCATGGGATGCTGGTGCCCAGCACCCTCCCCAGCACCCACAGCTGCCCCAGGTCCCTCTGTGGGGTGAGGACCACACCTGGTTCCATCCCGTGCCCCCATCCCACGCCGTCACCACATCCCCACACTCCCTCCAAACCTGGATGAGGGATCCCTCGCAGCACGAGATCTGTGGCCGATGAGGTCCCTGTGCCCTACTGGGGGGCTCCACGTCCTGACCTGTGCCCCCCCAGCCATGAGCCGCCGCGTGGTGCGCCAGAGCAAGTTCCGTCACGTCTTTGGGCAGCCTGTGAAGGCCGACCAGATGTATGAGGACATCCGCGTCTCCAAGGTGACGTGGGACAGCTCCTTCTGCGCCGTCAACCCCAAATTCCTGGCCATCATTGTGGAGTCGGGTGGCGGGGGGGCCTTCATGGTCCTGCCCCTGTCCAAGGTGAGCGGAGGAGTTGGGACGGGTCCCCCCATGGATGGTAGAGGGTATGGGATGTGATGGTGGGCTCTGCTCTGGGCATGGGATGTGGTGACGGCTCTGCACCGCTTTGCCCCCATATCCCCAACCTGTGGGGGGCTCAGGGACCCTGGGGGAGCTACTGGCAGATATCCTGGGGACAACTGCAGTGTCATAGGAGCCCTCCATCCACTTTCTCCCCAGCCCCAAATCCCTGTGTGTGTGTGTGTGTGTGTGTGCCCCCCCAATACAGGGACTGGGCCCCCCCTTCTGTCCCACACCGCCACCATAGGGGGCACACAGCAACCCATCCCCAGGCACATCGCTGCCCTCTGCATCCCCATGGGGCTCAGTGCCTCAGTTTCCCCACGGCTCCCTCCATGCTGTATCCATGCTGGGGCTTGGGGGAGGGTCTCAGCCCCCCCCCCCGTGTTGCAGACAGGCCGTGTGGACAAGAACCACCCGCTGGTGACGGGGCACACGGCGCCCGTGCTGGACATCGACTGGTGCCCCCACAACGACAACGTCATCGCCAGCGCCTCCGAGGACACCACCGTTATGGTGAGGGGCGGGCGGTGGGGGGGGGGGTACGAAGGGCCTCCCCCCCCTCCCGCTTTCCCATTGCTTTGCTGCCTGCAAAGTGTCACCGACCTATTTTTAGAGGCAGTGCCATGTGTGTGTGCTGCTGGCGGCGGCCGCTGGCTCCATGATGCAGCACTTTATGCTAAATATACCCTCCCCGCGACTCAGCACCGGGGGGGCCACATGCGGCACAATGGGGCTGTGCCCCCTCCCCCTTTATCCCCCCATCCCCAGGGCACCACGTGCTCCCTGCGGCATCAGGATGTGCGACGGGGTGGTGGCACCTCTGAGGTTAATTATCCCCGTGTCCCCCCCCCTCCCCAGGTGTGGCAGATCCCAGACTACGTCCCCGTGCGCAGCATCACGGAGCCGGTGGTGACGCTGGAGGGGCACTCCAAGCGCGTGGGCATCATCTGCTGGCACCCCACAGCCCGCAACGTGCTGCTGAGCGCAGGTGGGGCTCACCCCAAGTCCCATGGGAACCAATGGTGGTTAACCCCAAATCCCCGCTGGGGATCAATGTTTGTCACTCCGAGTCCCACTGGGGATCAATGGTAGTCACCCCAAATCCCCACTGGGAACCAATAGTAGTCACCTCAAATCCCACTGGGGACCAATGGTAGCCACTCCAACTCCCACGAGGAACCAATGGTGGTCACCCCAAGTTCCATTAGGAACCAAAGGTGGTCACCCAAATCCGCACTGAGGACCAATAGTGGTCACCTCAAATCCCCCTAGGAATCAACAGCGGTCACCCCACGTCCCACTGGGGACCAACAGCAGTCACCCCAAATCCCCGCTGGGAACCCGTGGTGGTCACCAGTGGAATGACACTGTCCCGGCGTCCCCTGCAGGCTGTGACAACCTGGTTATCCTCTGGAACGTGGGTACCGGGGAGATGCTGCTGGCACTGGAGGACATGCACACCGACCTCATCTACAACGTGGGCTGGAACCGCAACGGCAGCCTCCTGGTCACCACCTGCAAGGACAAGAAGGTGCGCGTCATCGACCCGCGCAAGCAGACGGTGGTGGCGGTGAGTGTCCCCAGCGTGTCCCCATTGCCACCTCCCCGCGGCGCTCCCCCCTCCCCGCTAACGGCCGACCCCACTAACCCCGCCCCTCTGTGTTTGCCTTTAACCCGCTAACGCCCAACGCAGGAGATAACCAAACCGCACGACGGCGCCCGGCCCATCCGCGCCATCTTCATGGCCGATGGCAAGATCTTCACCACCGGCTTCAGCAAGATGAGTGAGCGGCAGCTGGGCCTCTGGGACCTGGTATGGGGCCGCGCCGTGACCCACTGTGCCCCCCAGGACCCCGTGTGCCCCCCCAGGACCCTCCTGCGCCCACCTCCGTTGGAACCCAATAGCTGTAGCGGGGATGGATCCGCGCCCTCACACCCCAACCCCGTGCCACGTGCTGACTCTGTGCCCCCCATCCCCAGGAGAGGTTCGCGCCCCACGAGGGGCTGAGGCCCGTGCGGGCCATCTTCACGCGGGAAGGACACATCTTTACCACGGGCTTTACCAGGATGAGCCAGCGGGAGCTGGGGCTGTGGGACCCGGTAACGAGGCCGCATGGAGTGATGCTCCCAGGAACTCGGCTTTCCAAACCCAAACCCAAATCCATTCTTCCCCAAAATATGACGCCGAGTTCCCCGTGTGCTGTGCCCGTGTGCCGTGCAGTGCCTGGGTGTGCGGGTGGGGTGGGTGGGTGGGGGTATCCCAGTACAGGTAAGCAGGAATGGGGTGTGGGCATGCCAGGGGGGTCCTGGGGGTGTCCCCATCCCTATGGTGTGCAGTGCCGAATGGTGTGGCTGACGGAGGTGGGGGCCCGGCGCTCACCCCCAGCTGCATCCCCGCAGAAAAACTTCGAGGAGCCCATCGCACTGCAGGAGATGGACACCAGCAATGGGGTCCTACTGCCCTTCTACGACGCTGACTCCAGCATTGTTTACCTCTGTGGAAAGGTGACCCCAGGTTTCCCCCCTTACTGCCCCCCCCCTGCCATGGGGAGAGGTCGGGGGAGCTGACAGCCCTCCCCATATCTGCAGGGGGACAGCAGCATCCGCTACTTTGAGATCACGGACGAGGCGCCCTACGTGCACTACCTGAACACTTACAGCAGCAAGGAGCCACAGCGTGGCATGGGCTTCATGCCCAAGAGGGGGCTGGATGTCAGCAAGTGTGAAATTGCCAGGTTGGGGCTGGAGGGGCCAGGGGGCGGGGGGGGGAACGACGATAGCAACGGGAGGGGCCATCCAGACCCCAACCAGCTCTGCCCCACTCAGGTTCTTCAAGCTGCACGAGCGCAAGTGTGAGCCCATCGTCATGACGGTGCCACGCAAGGTGAGCCCTCTGGCACCTCTTGAGGACAGTGGGGTTTTGGGGACAATGGGGTTTCGAGGAGGAGAGTTGAGTGCTCCATCTCACTGTGCCCCCATGTTGTCCCTGCAGTCAGACCTCTTCCAGGACGACCTGTACCCCGACACGCCTGGCCCTGAGCCGGCCCTGGAGGCGGATGAGTGGCTGTCAGGGAAGGATGCGGAGCCCATCCTCATCTCGCTGCGGGACGGCTACGTCCCCGTCAAGAACCGGGAGCTGAAGGTGGTCAAGAAGAACATCCTGGACAGCAAACCCCCTCCGGGCCCCCGCCGCAGCCACTCCACTTCCAATGCCGACATCTCTGTGAGTGTCCCATCACCTCCCCAGGGGACCTACCACCCTACAGGGACACTAGCCCATGGGGGGCATCGGCCCATGGGAACATTGGTGCATGGAGATGTTGGTCCATGGCGGATATTGACTTATGGAGGTGTTGTCCCATGGGGACGTTGGCCCTTGGGGATGTGACACAGGGCTGTCCCCTTCCTCAGGGGCTGATGGCCGTGGCAGGGTTCTGTATGCCCAGCACAGACCCTTTGTGTCCTCCCACAGACCCCCGCCCTGGACGAGGTGCTGGAGGAGATCCGGGTGCTGAAGGAGACGGTGCAGGCGCAGGAGAAGCGCATCTCCGCTCTGGAGCACAAACTCTGCCAGTTCACCAATGGCACGGACTGAGGCACGGGCATGGGACTGCGCCCAGCCCGGCATTAAACCGCATCCCGCAGCGGGCAGAAGGCCACAGCCATGTTCTTTCCCCAGGAGCTGTTGAGGGGGAGGGGGTGTCGGACTCTGAACCCCCCCACCCCATTTTACTCCTAGGGTGCCAGAATGCATTTGGGGACTTTGGTACGTGGGGGTCCCTCCTGGCAGCCATGGGTGCCAGGATGGGGGTGTTGGTCCCCCTCCCAGTGCTGGGGTACGGTGCCAAATCCCCCCATGACCCCACACCCCCTCACAGGGGGGGCTCCATACTCCCAGCACCCACCATTAATAAAGGGCTTGGGTCTCCTGTGGCCGTACCAGGGATGTGGGGCTGCTGCGGGGGAGCCCTGCCTGCACCCCCCCCACACCAGGCACAGAGAGGCTCCTCTCAGAGCATTTATTGGTGTTGGCCATGGTCAGAGCTGCTCAGGCTCCCCCCGGCCCTGGCCCAGACGTTGCTTGTGGGGTGCATGGATGGGGGGGAGGGGGTGCCACTATGAAAAGTCCCTTTGGGGGCAACCCCGCAGTCCCCCCCCGTGTGCAAAGACGGAACAGCCCGGGGTGAGGAGGTGGGGGCCTAGGGTTTAGCACCATTTGATGTAAGGTTTTACCAGGGGTGGGGGGCAGTGCCCGGGATGAGGGGGTGCAGCGCTGCCATGGTTGGGGGGGGGGCATCCGAGCAGGGCTGGGAGGGTGCAAGCACAGGATGAGGGGGTGACACTGGGCATCCCTTTGCGGGCCCCCCCTTGGTTGCCCCCTTGGCCTGGGGCGAGGCCATAGAGCCCCACATGGGCTGGGGGGTGCAGTGGGGCTGAGCCCCCCCCGTTGGCAGGCAGAGCAGCTCCCGGGTAAGTGCACTTGGTAGCGCCTGGGCAGTGGGGCCAAGGGGGGGACAGAGCCCCATGGCTCTCATGGTGCCCCCATGGCTGGGGAAGAGTGTGACCCCCCCGCCTCCCCGGGGTCAGATGGGGGGGGCAGCATGCAGGATACACCCCCTGTTCCCTGCCACCCCCAGTGCCCCCAGCACTCACCCCTGCCCCGGCTACGGGGCCGACGCCGCCCCCCCTATTTGTCCTCTGCACGGGCCGTTCCCCCACACACCCCTCCGTGCCCCATACACACGTCCCCAGGCCCCGAGTCGGTGCAGGGGGGCTCAGCGGGGGCGGGGGGTCACTTCTCCATCAGGGAGAGCTGCAGGATGCGCTGCAGCTCCTCTTCCTCCTGCCGCGTCCGCCGCTCTGCCTCCTCCTGCTCCCGTGCCGACAGCGCCATGGCCAGGCGCAGCTGCTCCGCGTAGCTGGGAAACAGCGTGCTGGGCCCCCCGCCGCCCCCCGGCGCCGGGCTGGAGGGGGGTCTGGGGGCTGCCGTGTGCTGGGGAGTCCTGGGGGGGCATGGCACGACCTCAGCCTGGAGCTCTGGGGGGATCCGTGGGGATGGGACCTGCTCCCACACCCCCGGACCTTACCAACCTGTCTCCCCGGCGTCCCTCGTGCGACATGGGGTGGGTGCCTGGCTTGCTGTTGGTCAGTGCTTCCCAAATGGTGACCTAGAGGAAGGGGGAGGACAGGAGGGGTAAGATTTGGCCCCAGTGTGGCCCATAGTGTAATGGAGCAAGCGTGGAGTGGTGGGATGGGATGGGATGGGATGCGATGGGATGGGAAGGGATGGGATGGTCCTCATGGGATCCTGATGACCGGGGAGGGATGAAAAGGTGGTTGGATGAGGACGAGAAAGATGAAGACGAAAAAGATGAGGATGTTGGATGAGAAACAACATTGGATGACACTGAAGAGGACAAAGATGTTGGATGACACTGAGGAGGACCAAGATGTTGGATGAGGATCAGGAGGATGAGGAAAAGCTGGATGAGGTGAAAGAGGATTTAGGAGGAGGAGGAGGATGCTCAGAATGATGAGAAGGATGTTGGATGAGGAGGATGAGAAAAATGTTGGATGAGGGGGATGAGACTGAGGACGCTGGAAGAGAAGGATAAGGATAACATTGGATGAGGCCAAGGAAGATGAGATGGCTGAGACTGTTGGATGAGAAACATGTTGGCTGAGGAGGATGAGGAGGGGCTCTCCCCATGATGCCCACCTGGTCATACTCACTGCCTGCTTCCAGCAGGCTCTGCTGGATGGCAAACTGCAGCAAATCATCCTCATCCTCCCGCAGAGCATCCTGGTGGGTGCCCACCACGCTGTACCCCCGTGGCACCTCAAAGAGCGCCGGGTCCATCTCACATGCCCGGCAAGATGCTGCAGGGAGACAGGTGTGGCAGGGTACCCCAATGCCCGTGTGCCCCCCACCCACCGCATGCCCTTGCTCCCCAACCCCCCATGTACTCAGGGAGCTGGAGCTGCTGACGCTGGAGGAGTCGCTGCTGGGTGAAGGAGCCTCACTGCTGGGGCTGTTGCGCAGGGAGCTGACGGGCTCATCACACCCATTGAGGTTCCCAAAGGTGATCCGGGCATTGAGGATGTGAAAGATGGGGATTTCTGCCCATATTGGAAATGAAAGAATAACGAAATAAAGAGTGGGGAGGGAAGCTGGCTGTGTGTCCCACTGGACTGGTAAAGGTCCCCTCCATGTGCCATCCCCCATACCAATCTTGACGGGGAAGCCGGGCGGGAGGCGCAGGGTGATGAAGTCGCGCAGCTTGGCGAAGAGCGCGTTGCTGATGGCCATCAGGTCGATGATGGGAGCCACCTGCTCACAGAGGGACAGCGGGTGGTCCTCGCACAGCCACAGCTTCGCCTTGAACCTGCAGTGAAGGGGACAGGCGCCAGGATGGGGGCCCCGGGAGCCCCGCGATGGCAGCACGGTGTCGTTGGGGTCCCCTCCTCCCTGCTCGCCCCCCTCACTTCTGTGTCTTGGTGGTGAGCTCCATGGGCCTCCCCATGTCCCTGTTGCCCAGCTCGAAGTTAGGGTTGAAGTACTCCTCAGGGGTGATGGCGGTGGGGTTGGTGTGGCTCAGCGTCTGCGTGATCAGCGTCTGCAGGGACAGCACAGTGCAGTGATGGTGGCACAGCTGTGGGGGTGGCACAGCCATGGGGACCCCCCTCGCACACTCACCCCATTGTTGGGCCCCACGTGCTGCTCGGCGATGCCCAGGAAGGACTGTAGTGGGGTCTTACTGCCTGCAAGATGGGGCGTGAGGCTGAGCACTGCAGCCCTGTGCCCACCACCGCCCTACACGCTACCTTTACTCTTGCCCTTGTGCTGGTCTGAGAGGTGCTCCGTCCGCGTCCGTGTGATCAGCTCCACGTTGGACGCGCCGTAGACCTGTCCAAGCAGGCAGAATGTCAAAGGTGGATGTTCCCCAAAAAACAGCTGTGCCCATCCCAGTTCAGCCCCCTGCCCCTCACCTTGGCCTCATACCCATTCACCATCTCTGTCTTCTCGCTTCTCCAACCCAGAATCCCAGATTTGTTCCTGAGGGCGACACGGGGTGCTGTCAGGGAGGGATGGGATGGGTTGGGGTGAGTTGGGATGAGATGGCTAGGATAGGTTGGGTGGGAATGGTTGGGATGGGTTGGGATGAGATGGGTGGAATGGAATGGAATGAGGTAGGACGGGATAGGATTGGTTGAGTTGGGCTGGGTTCAGATGCTTGGAGTGAAATGGGATGGGATTGGTTGGGTTGGGCTGGGTTGGGATGAGTTGGGTTGGGTTGAGATGGGATGGGTTGGGATGAGATGTCATAGGATGAGATGTCATAGGATGAGATGGCATGGGATGTTCCCACTTGGACAGCCAGATACGCGAGCAAAGGGTTGACCAGCAATGTCCCTGCCCACCTTTCAAAAGCGATGTTCTTGGTATCAAGCTGGGTGGTGACGACGGGGGCTGTGAGCCGACCCATCACCTGCTCCTCTGTGGGCTGCACAGCAGCCAGCAGCACCTCCTGGTCATGGCCGGCCAGGGCCAGTGTCTCCGAGTAGACCACTCGCCGGTCATGGTCAATCTCCATCACCACTGCGCTGGTGTCTGTGGGGAGGGGATGTTCAACACAGGGACAGCTGTGGTCCTCCACAGCATCTCCCAGCCCCCTCCTCACCTTGTCCCCTGAAGACAAAACTGCGGTTGCCCCGCTGCCAGGTCATATGGTCAAAGCCCAGCAGCGTGGTGTCCACCCGCAAGTTCTGGCCGCTCTTCCACACCTTGTACGTGTCACTGGGGCAGATCTTGGACACCAGTGGCACTGGGGGGAGACGGCGATAGCCCAGCCAGGGATGGGGCCACCCTGTGCCTCCCAGTGGGCTGCAAGCACGCTGGGAAGCTCCCACTTCACCCAAGCTTACCCCAGCTGGTGAACTCCCACTTCATCTCCACATAGAAGTCCTGGGCCTGCCAAGAGCAGTGGGGTGGGCAGGGGCCCAGCAGTGATGCCCCCAACCCCGAGGGCTCCCCCAGCCCCGGGTACCTTGCGCAGCTTCTCCAGCAGGATGGGGATCCCGGCCAGGCGCTTGATGGCTCTCTGGTAGTCGCGGTAGCGCAGGACCAGCTGCACCAACTCTAGGTCACGGGTGCTCACGGCCTCCTGTAGCACTGCAGGTGGCACAGCACGGTGCAGAACAGCGCAGAGCAGCACGGCACGGCACAGTGGGGCACAGCATGGCATGGCATAGCATGGGGTGGTTCAATATGGCACAACGTGGCATGGAATGGCACAAGGCAGTGCAACGTGACATGGTGCAACATGGCACGGGATGGCACAGTGGGATGCAGCACGGCACGGTGCAGCATGGCACAGTGCAACACGTGCTCCCCTTGGGGAGCAGGTTGTCCACATCGGAGGCCCAGCTCACCTGTCCAGCCGCTGCGGTTCTCCTTGCCCACATCAGCTCCATGCTTCAGCAGCACCCGGGCGCACTCCAGGTGGCCCAGCGTGGTGGCCAGGTGCAGCGGGGTGCGTCCTCGGGGGTCCAGCTGCTCGATGTCGGCCTGGTGGGGGGCACCGGAGCTCAGGGGAGGGTGGGCTGTCTAGAACTCCCTTCCCACGCCCTCCCACAGCCGCATCTCCATCCGACACAGCCGCAAGCCGGGGGAAAGCCCCCACCTCTGTGGCTCTGGGGGGGGGCCGTGGCCCAGTTGCCAGGCAGCAGCTGCCGGCAGCCCCCACCGCAGCACGGCGGGCGACGCGGGCGCACGTGTTCCCCGCGGATCAGCAGCCGGGGGCGGGCAGTGCTGCGTGAGCGGAGCGGCTGCTGTGAGCATCCCCGGCTCCGGGGAGCTGCACTGGGGCTGTTTGTGCCAAGCCCGGGGGTTGGCAGGGGGCCAGGCACCAGGAATCCCCCCTCCTTTCACCCCCCTCCCCCCACACACACATGTTTGGGGACACACCGGCTGTCCCCGAGGCGGCGATGCACTCTGCACCCCATGCAGCACTGCACCCGCGGGGCAGTGACCACCTGGGATGTCCCCAGTGCTGGGTGTCCCCATGGCTGTGTCCCTAGGGGTCACTGGGTACTGGGGACCCCCAGGTTCCCTTTAACAGCCCCCCCAGCTCCCCAGGAGCCTGCATGCTGCTCCAACACTCTCCAGGCGACTGCTGCTTCTTAATTGCACTAATGAAAAGACTCTAATTAAAGTGATTGCCCCCCAGCTGGGGGACGGGTGCTGCAGGCTCTGTGGGGTTCCCCAGCTGCATCCCTGACCCAGTGCCGTGGGGGGACCGGGGCCACCAAATTGGGGACACAACATCGGAGCCAACCCCATGGGACATGGCATGACCCAATTTTTGCCATCAGCTCTGAGCCCGGGGGGGCACAGCTGTCTGTCCTGGGGCTGCGACACGCTGAGGATGGGGACATGTTTGGGGCGGTGGCAGTGCCGTGTGGGGCTGCAGCATGATCACCCATTGTCCCTCAGCCCCACAGGCTGTCCCTAGGGTGGGGGACTCCAGCACAGGCACAGAGCCCAGCTCCTATGGCAGCAGGGGATGCTTTGCAGGGTGGCGGTGCCATGTGCTGCTGTCCCTGCACAGCCCTGGGGACGGTGGGGTCCCCGTGGTGTGGAATGAGGCAGGCTGCAGCACAGGACAGTGGGGCACAATGGGGCACAATGGGCTCCATGTCAGTGCTGCCACATCCTCATGCTGTCCCCACAGCCTTTTGCCCCCCCAAGGCGGAGCCAAGCGTGGCCTGGCGCCTGGTGGTGACATTCAGCACAACCCACACGTGGCCCTTTGTGGGCTGCCAGCCCTATAGGCCCACACATTCCAAAGGGGCCACATGTGGTGCTGCTGTCCCCACGGGTGTCCCCAGGCAGAGCACAGCAGCCCCCCAGCACTGCCCGTTCAGCCCAGGGATGCTCTGATATGCAGAAAGCTGCGCTGTGTCCCCGGATGCCCCTGGGTGGAGGGAGGTGGGGGGCTCAGACCAGGCTGCACCCCCTTCTTCCCCCAAATCCCCTCCAACCCTGGGGTCAGGCCTGCAGCACCCATGTCCCCTCCCACGTACCCTGCCTGCTCACAGGGTCGGCATTGCTCTCACTCTGACAATAGGGACACGGAGGGAGGTGAGGGGGACAGAAGAAGGCCCCCATTGGGCAGGGGGTTCACTTAGAGCACCCCCCGGCCTGCAACATCCCACACTCAGCTTTGAGCTGCACTGTAATGGGGAAAAATGACCCCAGATGACCACAGGCATAAGCACAGTGGTGATAGGGCAGGGGGGTAATACCGGCAGGCAGCCCCCTCCTCCCCCCCCCCAGATGGCCCCACAATGGAGACGGGTGTGGCGAGAGAGCATCCCTGCATCCCAATGGCAGCATCGTAGCAAGAGGAGACCCCTGCCCACCTCCCTGCCCACACCCACCCTGGTGGCCCTGAGATCCGGGGGGGCAGGTGGCAGTGACTGTGATTGGGGGGGGTGGAAGGGGGGGGGGGGGAAGGAAGGCATGGCCTCCTCCAGCGCCTGCGGTTTCCTGCGTCTTCAGGGTTGGGTTTTAATTACCTGAATTGCAACGCCAATGGGGAGATGGAGGCTGGAAGCGGGGGGAGCACACACGGAGGGTGCCCCCACCCTGCAGAGAACCTCCTGGCTGCCTGGGGCTGGGGGCTGAGCTCCAGCAGAGCACGGCCTTGTGTGCCCCTCTCCACCTCCGAGGGTGGGGAGCTGGGGGGGCTGTTCTGGCTGCACCCCACCTCCGGGGAGAGAGCAGGGGGCTCTGGTTGGGGGGGGGTGCACAGAGGCCTAGGAGGGAGCGGGGGACACGTGGGGAGGGATGTGGGGGGTTGGGAGTGGGGGGAACCGAGATGGGGGGGATCTCTGCTGCTCCGGTGGCGGCTGTCACAGCGCTGGGGGAGGGGGGGGGGCACGAAGGGACCCCAACCCCTATCAGCATCACCGCGGCAGGAGGACCCCAGCCCCAGCCCTTTCCCCAGCCCCAGCCCCGGCCGCAGCCCAGCGCTCAGCGTTGCATCAGCTCGAACCGAACGGAACCGCACCGCCCCGCACCGCCGCCCCACCTGCTTGGCGCTGAGCTCTCGGTCCAGCTCCCGGGCTCGGTTGTGCCAGACGAGGTAATGCAGCGGGTATCTGCCCTCCGGCCCCTTCCTGCCCGAGCAAGACGCGAGCATCCTCCGTGCATGCTGGAGCGGCGGAGCGGGGCGCGGGGCGGAGCGGGGCGCGGGGCGGGGCGGAACGGGGCGCGGAGCGGTGCGGGGCGGTGCGGGGCGGGGGGGGGGTGATGGGAGCCGCCCGGACGGTTCTCCCCCCGCATCCCCCCCTCTCGCCGCCCGGCCTCATGGGACTTGTAGTCACCGTGCGCGGCGTCGCCCCTTCCTCCTCCTCCTCCTCCTCCTTTTCCTCCCCGCACCCCCCCGCCGGCTCTATGCCCCCCCCATGTGTGGGGCCGCACAGGGACGGCTCCGCAGCGCCCGAAGGCACAACCCGAATTCTGATCTCCCCCCTTCTCCCCCAACGCGGCTCTCCCCACCCACGGGCGCTCAGCACGCGGCGCGACCCCCGCGATGAGCCCAAGGGGTGCCGACCCCCCCCCCGGCCCCGTTTCCCTTTCCGCCCTCGTCTCTCCGCTCGTGTTTTCCGGCAGCCGCCCGAGAACAATGCGAGGTTGGGACCCACGGCTGCCCCCCCGTACCCCCTCCCGCGCCCTTATGGTGTTCCCGCGGGGTCACCCCGCCCCGATGGAGGGCTGTGGCCGTGCCCCCCCGAACCCCCCCGGGTCGCGCTGCCCCGTGACGTCACGGCCATGCAGCGGTGAGGTCAGCGCCGTGCGGGCGGCAGCGTGACACGGCGGTGCTGATGGGGGTCCCCAGGGCAGGGGGTGCCCCCCGACCCCATTCATCCAAGGCCCCAGAGATACCTCCCTTCCCCCCCCCCCCAGTGTGCTGCGTGCAGCCATCGTGGGGATGGGGGTGCAGCGGGGCAGGATTTGGGGTGACTGGGGCCTGGGAGGGGGGGGCACGGGGTGCGGGTGGGAGCAGGACGGGGCGCTGGGCTGGAATGGGGCTGGAGTTAGGGCCGGGGGGTGCCTGGAACCACAAGTGGGACATGGGCTGGGTCAGAACCAGGAACAGGACACGGACCAAGGCTAAAACCAGAGCCGATGGATGCCCAGAGCGAGACCAGCCCAGAACCAGAATGAGGACCAAAATGAGAGTCTGAGAGTCGGGACCAGGCCCAGAGGATGTCCAGGATCAGGATCGCTATCTGACAAGAACCAGGGGATGTCCGGGACAAGATCAGGACCAGAACAAGGTCCAAGACTAACACAGGACCAAGACCAGGAGCAGGGGATACCCAAAACCAGGACCAGAATAAGAAGCAGGGAATGCCCAGGAACAGAACCAGGATGGGAACAAGAACAAGGAGACACACAGGATCAGGACTAGAACCGGGACCAGAACCAGAGGACGATCAGAGCCGGGATGAGGATAAGAACCAGGACGAGCCCCGAGCCGCCCCTCAGGGCCGCCCAGCCGCAGCTCCCCCTCCAGCAGCCGGTGCTGCGCTCAGGGCGTGCCGTGCGCTGCGCCGCGCCGCGCGGGGCGGTGCGGGGCGGTGCGGGGCGGCGGCGTTCGGTGCTCGCGGGGCGGGGAAGGCGCTGCCCCTCCTCCGCCGGGGCCGGGCCTGAGCCGCTTCCTGCGGAGCCGCCGGGGCTGCGAGCAGCCGGCAGGGCAGGCGGCAGGGAGGGCGAGGCAGCCCCGGGCCCCCCCCCCCCCCCCCCCCCCCCCCCCCCCCCCCCCCCCCCCCCCCCCCCC